AAAACATTAGGTCACAGGTAACACTTGTCTCAGGTAGCATTGATCACAGGTAACTTAAGCTTTAGGTAACTTACTTGGGAGTAATTTTGTCTTGAGCCAATATTTCGTGAGCCCATTTGTCAGGAGCCCATTGGAGAAAGCTATAACGTTGAGAACCAATATGTTGTCAGCCGATTTGTCAGGAGCCTAAATATATGTGGCGAGTCAGTTTGATGGGAGCCCATTTGACATTAGCCTATATGTCGTTTGATGGGTCTTATATTAGCCTATATGTCGTTTGATGGGTCTTATATTAGCCTATATGTCGTTTGATGGGTCTTACATTAGCCTCTATGTCGTTTGATGGGTCTTACATTAGCCTCTATGTCGTTTGATGGGTCTTATATTAGCCTCTATGTCGTTTGATGGGTCTTACATTAGCCTCTATGTCGTTTGATGGGTCTTATATTAGCCTCTATGTCGTTTGATGGGTCTTATATTAGCCTATATGTCGTTTGATGGTCGTTGATGGGTCTATTTAGCCTGGTGTTTTGTCACAGGCTGAAGCCATGTTATCTTTTTAACTTGGCCCATAGGTGTATGTTGGATGACAATGCAGCACAGTTTAACATAAATTTAACAAGTATTTCAGTTAATTATAATAACTCTAGTTCTATAATTATAATAGCTTCATTTTTATAGCTTTGTATTGAGTGTTTAAGTTCAAGTTGAAGCTGTTTATTGTGCTAATGTCAAGTTACGAGTGCTGCTATGTTAACTGTTCTTATGTCGTTACCACTGTCCATTCAGGAATGGATGAAAAAGTCTGGCAAAGGTCAGTCATACGCCAGAAGATGGGAGCCTTCAGTCGTCTGTCTAAACTGGAGTCTGGTGGCGGGAAGTTTGATGTCAACTTGACCACCACACCTAACAGCACGGACGAGGTCAAGAAGGTGACCTTCCTGGCAGAGAATGGACCCAAGTTGTACCACGTGTCTTATGCTGTTGTGTACCAGCTTGACCGCCTGCTTGGGGTAAGTATGTGATTTTGTTTGGTCACTTGACATTTTGTGTACCGACTTGACCGACTGCTTGGGGTAAGTATGTGATTTTGTTTGGTCACTTGACATTTTGTGTACCGACTTGACCAACTGCTTGGGGTAAGTTTGTGATTTTGTTTGGTCACTTGACATTTTGTGTACCGACTTGACCGACTGCTTGGGGTAAGTGTATCATTTTGTTTGGTCACTTGACATTTTGTGTACCGACTTGACCGACTGCTTGGGGTAAGTGTATCATTTTGTTTGGTCACTTGACATTTTGTGTACCAACTTGACCGACTGCTTGGGGTAAGTGTATCATTTTGTTTGGTCACTTGACATTTTGTGTACCAACTTGACCGACTGCTTGGGGTAAGTGTATCATTTTGTTTGGTCACTTGACATTTTGTGTACCAATTTGACCGACTGCTTGGGGTAAGTATGTGATTTTGTTTGGTCACTTGACATTTTGTGTACCAACTTGACCGACTGCTTGGGGTAAGTATGTGATTTTGTTTGGTCACTTTACCGACTGCTTGGGGTAAGTTTGTGATTTTGTTTGGTCACTTGACATTTTGTGTACCAACTTGACCGACTGCTTGGGGTAAGTGTATCATTTTGTTTGGTCACTTGACATTTTGTGTACCAACTTGACCGACTGCTTGGGGTAAGTGTATCATTTTGTTTGGTCACTTGACATTTTGTGTACCAACTTGACCGACTGCTTGGGGTAAGTATGTGATTTTGTTTGGTCACTTTACCGACTGCTTGGGGTAAGTTTGTGATTTTGTTTGGTCACTTGACATTTTGTGTACCAACTTGACCGACTGCTTGGGGTAAGTATGTGATTTTGTTTGGTCACTTGACATTTTGTGTACCGACTTGACCAACTGCTTGGGGTAAGTATGTGATTTTGTTTGGTCACTTGACATTTTGTGTACCGACTTGACCGACTGCTTGGGGTAAGTATGTGATTTTGTTTGGTCACTTGACATTTTGTGTACCAACTTGACCGACTGCTTGGGGTAAGTATGTGATTTTGTTTGGTCACTTGATATTTTTTACCAGTGACATTCAGTTGGAGATTGTGTGTTAAGGTTAGATTCAGAGGGTTATGGTGTGTCACTCAAGGTCACATTCAATGGGTGTTGTTGTTATAAGGCCACATTATTTGTGTGAGAATCCTGGTCATAACTAACGCTGGTTTCTCTATTAAAGCTCTCCAAACTCATCAAGTATAAAACAAATCTCTAGAGTCACTAGGTTTAAGGTCTTTACTGGTTTCTTTAAATAAGAGAGTACACCCATTCAACACTGTTTTCAAAGTATCTGCTCAATGGCTATCTTAAATCAGTTGAGCAGTTTATTGATTTTCCCAATTAAAAATGGTTTTAATTGGATTGGATGCTGAAGCAGTGCATGTTTTTGTGAGAGCTGTGTACATTGCCTGACACCTGTGGCAGTTGAATATTACCTGTGATTTAAATTTTTACCTTTTCAGCTGTACCATGTCCCACCTTGTGTTACTAAGCAACTGCCAGCAACTGTGGTCAACAGGTACCTCAAGAGTGAGAACTGGGAGGAGACTTTCAAGCCACTCGTTGAGGCTGACGGCACATTGACAGGTACTCACATGACATGTGGATGTCATATATGTCATGCTGTGAGCATGTGGTGGAACAAATGTCATGTCATTATGTTGTTATGTCATGTTAGTAAGTTTGTGTAATGTCCTGTGGCAACCTAGGGTTGAAGGTTGAATAAATTGCAGGATTATACCAAAGCTAATTAAGTAAACTAACAAACTTTTCCTGTGACTCACGGCTTTATTGGTGTGCCAAAGCTAATTATTTAGACTAACGAACTTGTTCCTGTGACTTGCAGTTGTGATGACCATATTAAAGTTTATTAATCAAACAAACGAACTTGTCCCTGTGACCTCCAGTTGTGATGACTGTTAAAGTTAATTAATTAAACTAACGAACTTGTCCCTGTGACCTCCAGTTGTGATGACTGTTAAAGTTAATTAATTAAACTAACGAACTTGTCCCTGTGACCTCCAGTTGTGATGACTGTTAAAGTTAATTAATTAAACTAACGAACTTGTCCCTGTGATCTGCAGTTGACTGTTAAAGTTAATTAATTAAACTAACGAACTTGTCCCTGTGATCTGCAGTTGACTGTTAAAGTTAATTAATTAAACTAACGAACTTGTCCCTGTGATCTGCAGTTGACTGTTAAAGTTAATTAATTAAACTAACGAACTTGTCCCTGTGATCTGCAGGTTGACTGTTAAAATTAATTAATGAAGCTAACAAACTTGTCCCTGTGACCTACAGGTGTGATGACCGTACTAAAATTAATTAATTAAACTAACGAACTTGTCCCTGTGACCTACAGGTGTGATGACCGTACTAAAATTAATTAATTAAACTAACGAACTTGTCCCTGTGACCTACAGGTGTGATGACCGTACCAACTCCCCGTGTAATGAAGACGAGCAAGCTGAGCTTGACCCCTGTGGAGAGCTTGAGCACATTCACAGAGTTCTTTGACCGCACCAAGAAGATGCAGTTAGAATATGTTCTTCTATGGTGGCTGGGCAAAATCAGCATCTTTAAGGATGAGCATCTGGGATACAAAGGTGAGTGACCTTAAGATGGACATCTAGGATACAAAGGTGAGTGACCTTAAGGATGAGCATCTAGGATACAAAGGTGAGTGACTTAAGGATAGACATCTAGGATACAAAGGTGAGTGACCTTAAGGATGAGCATCTAGGATACAAAGGTGAGTGACCTTAAGATGAGCATCTAGGATACAAAGGTGAGTGACCTTAAGATGAGCATCTAGGATACAAAGGTGAGTGACCTTAAGATGAGCATCTAGGATACAAAGGTGAGTGACTTAAGGATAGACATCTAGGATACAAAGGTGAGTGACCTTAAGGATGAGCATCTAGGATACAAAGGTGAGTGACTTAAGGATAGACATCTAGGATACAAAGGTGAGTGACCTTAAGGATGAGCATCTAGGATACAAAGGTGAGTGACCTTAAGATGAGCATCTAGGATACAAAGGTGAGTGACCTTAAGGATGAGCATCTAGGATACAAAGGTGAGTGACCTTAAGATGAGCATCTAGGATACAAAGGTGAGTGACCTTAAGGATGAGCATCTAGGATACAAAGGTGAGTGACTTAAGGATGGGCATCTAGGATACAAAGGTGAGTGACCTTAAGATGAGCATCTAGGATACAAAGGTGAGTGGCCTTGAGATGGGCATCTATGATACAAAGGTGGGTGACCTCAAGGATGGATATCTAGGATACAAAGGTGATTGACCTTAAGATGGGCATTAGGCTAGAAGTATAAATCTTATTAACATTTTACCTATAGATTGTTTTCACATTTTACCTAGAGATTGTATTAACATTTTACCTAGAGATTGTATTAACATTTTACCTAGAGATTGAATTTACATTTTACCTAGAGATTGTATTAACATTTTACCTAGAGATTGTATTAACATTTTACCTATAGATTGTATTAACATTTTACCTAGAGATTGTATTAACATTTTACCTAGAGATTGTATTAACATTTTACCTAGAGATTGTATTAACATTTTACCTAGAGATTGAATTTACATTTTACCTAGAGATTGTATTAACATTTTACCTAGAGATTGAATTTACATTTTACCTAGAGATTGTATTAACATTTTACCTAGAGATTGTATTCACATTTTACCTAGAGATTGTATTAACATTTTACCTAGAGATTGTATTCACATTTTACCTAGAGATTGTATTAACATTTTACCTAGAGATTGTATTCACATTTTACCTAGAGATTGTATTAACATTTTACCTAGAGATTGTATTAACATTTTACCTAGAGATTGTATTAACATTTTACCTAGAGATTGAATTAACATTTTACCTAGAGATTGTATTAACATTTTTCCTAGATATTGTAATAACATTTTACCTAGAGATTGTATTAACATTTTTCCTAGATATTGTAATAACATTTCACCTATTGTTTATATTTTTTGCATCCTCACAGGTCACCTGATACATTTCAATGCAGATAAAGGATTTGTAAACAAGACTGCAAACTTTACTGGTAGGTTTTTTTTTTATTTTTAGAAAGAGAATTTAAAAAAAAAATGTTGTATTACCTTAATTATATACATAATATTAAATATAAAGAAAAAAAAAGAAATTTAAAAATGTAATTACTACATTTGCTTGATAATTTCCTTACTACTGTTAGATGGATGCAACAATTTGATATTTATTTAACACATTCTGTAAAAACATCATTTAAAAATTTCATGAAAGGTATAACAAGATTAAGCTAAGATAGACCTTGTTTTACATGCTAGCCAGATGTGTGAATTCACCTTTCTATTTCCTGTCTATAACAGAGTACCTGAACTCGTGCCAGTTCCCTAATGTTGTCTACAAGTCCTTGTCCTGCTTTAGATGTATCAACAGTGCTAAGCAATCTTCAGTCAAACCTTCTGTTTGTGGGCTGGGCAATGAGGTTAGTCTAGAGGCTGAGTGGTACATGTGTATGCTAATGGGTTTGTTTGTCTTTTATGTGTTACTACACCATTTATAGAATCTATCAGTGGGAAGTTGTTGAGTACACTCCAGGGAAGTCTTCTGTAGAATTACATGTAAAGAAGGGCGGCGTCATGTTGGAGGTGTGCAGTGATGCCAGAGTTCCTCTGGGGCTATCACAGCACCTGAGGGTCTGCTGGTTGGACATTTGACATAAGGGGTCAGGGGCACTACTTGATTGGCATGGTCTCATGGAATACAAAATCAGATTTTTATCTATGTTTATCATCCTTTTCCACCTTCCCTTCATATGCCGAGGTCAAGAAACATGAACTCTACTTAATCTGCCCAATGGATTGCTTGGTGTAAAGAGGATTCTTTACTTTACTTTATCATCCAATTAGAAATAGTTATAAATTTAGAAGTGACTAAATCCTATGAAGCCCCTATGGAGCTAAAGGCTTCAGCTGCACCTCTCCACCTCTCCACCTGACTCTGTTTTGGGTGGCTCTCTTTAGTTGAGCCCATATAAGCCCACCAATCCTTTCTTCTCCTTCCACTGTCCTTCTCCCTGTTTACGTCAGCCCACTTTTCCCCTGGGGTTTCTAGTCCAATTCTTGTAATGTTGACATCTTATATCTTCTCAAGGTGTAAATTTATTTGGAAAGATCTCTATCAAATTTCTATTTAGATTTACCATCCAATTAGAAAGATTTAGCATAGTGTATCCATTAATCTGCTTTATGCTTACGCTGTCTTAAATGTCTTAACTGAACAATGACAGGTGATGCAGCGTACACATGACATGTTCACGGAAGAGGTGGATATAACAATCCACAAGCTGACAGAGCTTCAACTCTCACAGATGATTGATAAAACAGCCACGGAAATTATGACCATTGTTCAAAAGTGTATCACCTTGAATGGGCGAGAAAATGTATTGTATTAACTCCAGGTCTTTTGGTAACTGAAAGAATGGGTGTTTGTAAAATATTGATAGAATAGAATTGGGCGTTACATGTGAATACAAATGGATATAATAGAATTAGGCAAGCATTTTATATATACATCTAACTATAAAATTACTATAATTGATTACCCATTTCTTTATGAATTAATGAATGGCTGTTATATTGCTTATTAATTATATAATATGTAGTTTTACCGGTAGGTGCTGGTACTTATGCATTGCAGACCAAATATTTAAAGAAATAAATGGAGGTTCAAATTTCTAATATAATTCATGACAATAATGAGATTTTAGGATTAGTTATTTATCTTTTCTTCATTTTAAACATGAGTCTACATGTTGGAGGACAGGTGTAATCTATGATTTCATTTGCCAATTTGTGCTGTTTTCATCCTAAAACAATTATTTTATAGTTGGATAAAGAGAGATAATTGTAAATAAAAGGTTTTTTATTTTTTTTTTTATTTGGTGAAGTTTGTAACTTTAATATAAAAATTGAATGTTTTAATTCAATTTACAAATATTTAAACAGAAGTGATTCATTTCAATTTTTGTTGTTTATTTTGGTGATATTAAATTTACATTGATGTTCATTTGACTGTGTATTGAGCAGTCATCACATTCCATATCAAGTCACACATTATCAGAGAGGATCACAATGTCACTTTATTTGATTTCACTTTTATAAAGATTGTTATAAAGATCACACTATTTCAATAGATCCTCATTTTCTTCAAGAAATCTCTTGTCTGGAACAGTGTTTTTTTTTTCTTTGACTGAAGAGTTCTGAGAATTGTTTTGTTGCTGTAGATCTGAGTTTTGAAGCTGCTCTATTTTTTAATCCTGCTGACTGCTTGCAAACTTGAGTGCAAACTTGAGCCTGTTCTCTAGCTTTATAGTCAGGACAAGTCTTGGTAGTTTTGTTTTCAATCTTTTTTTATTGAAATGGTCTTTTGTTGCCCATGAACTTTGACCTTTTACCTAAACTTATTATGGGCCAGACTTTTGAATAAAAGTACTGAGATCTATTCAACTAGCTACAACACATTTTTTTTCTAGTATTAATTAATTTAATACAACATTGAATTATGTGGTGGCCTAAAGAAAATGAAAGAGAAATTACAAGATTTTGATTCTATTGATATTTTAAAACTATTACTTTTAGAATATTTGATGTAATGTATTTGTAACACATGACTGAATAAAGCAAAATTATCATTAGAGGTTGAAGTTCATGTGATCTATCACACAAATTTCTACTTATGCAAAGTAAATGTTCACAAGTCATTCAAGATATACAAAGTTTACTGTCTGTCCATTTCTTGATGTGTCTTTTATAAAGCCATAATATTGCCATTTTATTTTTAAATGAACTTATGAGGAGTTTTGTGTTGTCTTGAGGTTGTTCAGACTGTTTTTTTAGGGGGGGGGGGGGGGGTTCAACATATATATATATATATAAATGGGGGTCATCATGCATACACCTGAAGGTCAGATCTGTCAACTTGGAGGTCACACGTACACCTAGGATCAACACATGCCCATAAAGTTTTTCTGTTGTTTAAAAAAAATAATCTCCATTTCTCTTGTTTAAAACATGTTGGTGCAGTGACCTAATGGTTGTGAGACTATTTCAACTTTCCAGTGTGTTTTACTTGCTTGCTGTGGTTGTAATGCTGGTTAGTTTTGTTGGTGTTGTGTTCTTTCGTTTGGTTACTTTATCATCAGTTGTGATTTAAAATATATTTGTTCACTTGTTTTGTTTTAAAAAAGCATGTGAATTTTTTCCATGTTTCTAAGATCTAATTGAGTTTTTCCATGTTTCTAAGATCTAATTGAGTTTTTCCATGTTTCTAAGATCTAATTGAATTTTTTCCATGTTTCTAAGATCTAATTGAATTTTTTCCATGTTTCTAAGATCTAATTGAATTTTTTCCATGTTTCTAAGATCTAATTGAACTTTTTCATTTTCCAAGAGCTGAGTGAATTTTTGCCTTCAGTTTACAGTGTTCTGAGTTTTAAAATTTAAAAGTTTTTCATTTGTAAAAAATGTTCAAAACTTTTGAAACGACATTTTGCTTCTGTTGTATTTTGTGATGATCACATTCCAAACAAAATTTTTTGTGACTTGTTTTTTTTTTCAATTTTTTTTTTGATGTTTGTTTAACACTACCCAATTCTGTTTAAAGCAATGTTACATCATTGATATGTTTTGGTATATGTATCAAGTCATTTACTTGAACCTTGAATTACACTGTGGTATTGAGCATACAGTATTTTGCTACTATGTGTTATTCTTATTTTGTAAAAAAAAAAAAAAACACCATTTAAATAAATTGTTGTTTATGAACCATGTTCATAGGCTACTTAATTTTGAAATGTGAGGGCTCATTTAAACTACTTCACAAAAAGGGAATTCACTCTGTTGTAAAAATAATAACTAAATAAATTTGACACAAAAATGAAATCACTCTGTTGTAAAAATAATAAATATGACACTCAGAATTTTGCTGAAAACTTGACTCACATGCTTGTGAGTAATAATAATCCACAGTGTCTGTGCAAAAAAAATAGCTTGTGAATTCACTCTTATATAAGTTAATTCCCATTTAAAAATATAACAGTTTTACTTTTTTAAATAATTAAGAACTTTAAACAAACACATTGATTTCAAAGACATGATTTCTGTTTCAAGGAATTTCAACAACTTTAATGCAATATCAATCAAGTTTTTCATATCACATGAACTTTCATTAACTTTTAGCTAGCATTTATTTTAAAATTGATTTGCTTTTCACAATTTTACTAAAAATATTTTTTAATCAACTGAATCCCTCCATTTTAAAGTCCATTAAAAATGTGTATATCTTTCAACAATGTATTTTTATTTCAATGAATATTCTTGTATTACATTCTGTATGGTTAAGTGTCTGTAGTAAGGGGTTGTATCATATTATTATTAACCCATCACTAATCAAGACTTGTAACACTTTTGTAAACTTAAAACTATTGTGTTGTATTTAATGCATGAATAATAATTAAAAATGATTTTGTATTAATAATGTCAATTATTAACCTTCAGTATGGTATTTGCTAATGTATTACTGGATATATTTGTGATTAGTTGAAATTGAGCTACTTTGTTGTCGCCCTTGGTTAAAAAGTCTGTATTGTGCCTGGTAGAGTTATCTCTCCTAGCCAATAATTGTTTGCTATGATAGCGTTATATTTTATGAATATTTTCGTTATCAAATCATAACTTGCATTTCGCATAATGTGATTTTTAAAAAAAAATCAAAACTCCCAGTAGCATCAAACTATTTTCTATCTGAGTCAAACCATTCCACACAGCCCTTGGGCTGAGAGTGATAAAACAATTTGTTTTTACCTGATTCCTTTTTGATATTGCTTTTTGTATGTTGCTCAAATCAGATCGTAATCAATGTCTTGATTTTTTTTTTTTAATTTGGCATTTTGCTTGTGAGAAGCGTTATGAGTTGAGGCAGTCAGTAGCTGTTTGAAATAGAGCCAGTCCACCTTTATACACTAATTGTGAGAAGTGTTATTAGTTGAGGCAGTCAGTAGCTGTTTGAAACGAAGCCAGTCCACCTTTATACACTAATTGTGAGAAGTGTTATTAGTTGAGGCAGTCAGTAGCTGTTTAAAACGAAGCCAGTCCACCTTTATACACTAATTGTGAGAAGTGTTATTAGTTGAGGCAGTCAGTAGCTGTTTGAAACAAAGCCAGTCCACCTTTATACACTAATTGTGAGAAGTGTTATTAGTTGAGGCAGTCAGTAGCTGTTTAAAACAAAGCCAGTCCACCTTTATACACTAATTGTGAGAAGTGTTATTAGTTGAGGCAGTCAGTAGCTGTTTAAAACGAAGCCAGTCCACCTTTATACACTAATTGTGAGAAGTGTTATTAGTTGAGGCAGTCAGTAGCTGTTTGAAACGAAGCCAAACCACCTTTATACACTAACATGTTTACTTATCTCAACATGGCGTTGTGCTATTCAGTAGAGAAGTATTTTGCTACAACTATACAATATGTGATTCATTTGCTATTTTCTGAATACAAATACAACAACCTGATGTTTATTTTATGAAGAGCTGACTTCTTACATAGATTTTTGTTAGATCTGATTATTTGCTCCATTGGTTCACTGATGTCGTGAAAAAATTTAAGTTGTTGTCGTAAATCAGGGGTCTCCAAACTACGGCCCGCGGGCCGGATGCGGCCTGCGATGTCCTTTCATCCGGCCCGCGGAAATCTTTTTGTCCACGGAAAAAAATGCTTATTGATGATGGCTGAGGAACTTTGCCCAGAGAAATCAAAGACATGCCTGGAAGTAACTGACCCCCGAACTGAAATTTGATAGTTAATGCGGCCCTCGGACTGAAAAGTTTGGAGACCCCTGTCGTAAATAAATTTAAGGTGTTTTTATTGTGGAGGGTTTACAGTAATTAATAACACCTTGGTGTTTCAAGGCCTTTCATTTTTTTGTCCCTGTTATTTTGGGGTGTATGTGGTTTAAAGCATTTTTTGTCCCTGTTATTATGGGGTGTATGTGGTTTAAAGCATTTAGCCTCAATGTTACCTCCCATATAGTCCCATAAAGCAACTGGCTTTTCATTAAAATGTTTTTCTTTATTCACTTTGTTTTTCTGGGGATATTTTTACTCAACTTAAATTGATATTGTTTTTTTCTTTCTTTTAAAGAACTTATATTGATGGTAGTTTTTTTTTCAATGAACTTAATAGTAGTTTTTAAAAAAAAAATAGTTTTTTGCTTTTTTCCCACTAAATTAATAGTTTTTTTGTGTCACTGAACTGAAGATGATAGTAGGTTTTTTTAATGTATAGAACTTAAATTGGTTGTAGTTTTTTTTTTAAATTTATTTACAGAGCTTTATTGATTGTAGGATTTTTTTAACGAAACATTTTATTTCTTGCTTATCTCTGAGCCATATCATGCTTCAGTGGCTTCTCATTTGAATATTCTTTCAATTTTAATTTCATCAATATAACATCCAAACATTTATTCAGTTCATGGTGTTTGAGTTTAATCTTTTTTTATTTTTTGATCAGTTGAAGATTCGAAAAATATTCAGCATATAGATTTAAGGTTAAATATTTATTAATGATTAAATGATTTTAACATTCTTAAGTTTATTCAGATTTTGACACTTTGGTTTTGGTTTGTTATCTTTGGATTGGGTTTAATCATTATTTGTTTTCTTTATATATTATTTAGATTCAAGTTTTTATTCAACTTTTCTTTTTTTTCTGTCAGTGATGAACACAAACAATATAATTGAGGATATGAGTCTGCATTTTATTTGAATTAATTTTGTAACTTGTATGCATAGATAAAGATTAGCTGATGACTTCTAAATTCTTTTGATGGCACATTAATATTGGAGATTAAGCCACCTTTTCAATGACAAAAAAAAAATTTATATTTCAAACATTCTGAAAAAAATGTATTATTTCTTAGTACTTATGAATTAGTTTAATCTGTGTATAATTTTTATATTAAAAAAAAAATTAATCCTGTTATAGCTTGCACATTCGGTTCTCTCTATCTACAAGAAGTAAAGAGCTTATTATTCTTTCTAGATTCTCATTTTCATTGTTTTAAATCAGGTGGCTGTTCTACATCCAGGCAGTCCACTTATCCTGTTGATGCTGTATGGTAGAGCACTCATACTTATATGCATAATGTGACATACACATAAGGTGACCTGCTTAGGTTGTGTGAGTAACTCACATCTTGTGACTGTTTATATGATACGCTTATGTAATTGTTTTACCTAATCTGTTTTTTTCTTTTTGCTAATGTGATATTTAACCCCACCTTTGGTTGTTTCTAAAGTTTTAAATGGCTTGTGTACAGTGTTTGTTTACAATGTATACATGTTTGTGTACAATATACATTTTGTGTACGATGTTTACATGTTTGTGTACAATGTTTACATGTTTGTGTACAATGTTTACATGTTTGTGTACAATGTTTACATGTTTGTGTACAATGTTTACATGTTTGTGTACAATGTTTACATGTTTGTGTACAATGTTTACATGCTTGTGTACAATGTTTACATGCTTGTGTACAATGTTTACATGTATGTGTACAATGTTTACATGTTTGTGTACATGTTTATGCAAACTATTATCCTGTTTGTGTACATTCAACATCATGTACGTGCACATGAGTTCTCATGTATGTGTACATGTACGTGTAAGGAGAACCACATACCTGTACTGTATTAATATTTGTATCAATGTATCTGGTTTATATTTTATGCAAGCAGTTGATGAAGCGATGTATTATGGCGCACAACTCTTGATTTCTCTAATCAAACTATAAGTTTTTCACAGTTAATGCCCTTGGACCATCTACGCAGAAATCTGTGAATTCATAGATGTAAATATTTGAATGTGTCGATAGGTTATTGAAACAGCAACCAGTTTTCTCTCAGGCTATTAATAGTAACATGTCACAGAGACCCTCAGACAGAATATAACAGGTCACATTGACTTTTAAAGGAAAGATATTTGCAAGGTCACCCAGCTAATTCTATTTTTAGCCTGAGGGTCAATTGAAAAATGTTGCTGTTGTGTTCAAGCTAGATTTTTGACCTGTTTCAAACTAATTAGATATTTGACCTGTTTCAAGCTAATTAGATTTTTGTCTTGGCCAACTCTACCTTGTTCCTATTCCAAATCTGATTGTTATTTTTGGTTCACACAATGATTTATTTTCAAATTAATGTGCTGTTAAGTTTGACGAAACTTTCTGTTTGAAAGTTATGAAAAAGTAGGCTAGTTTAAAAATAATTTTTTTTTATACCAACGATACAGTGTGGGTACATGTGGATTTATGTTTTAGATCTTAAAGCGACAAAAACAGACTTAAAATTTTGAAAAACTGTGAACATAAAAGTCGAAATAAATATTCCATGAAAAAAATGTTTTTAATGTGTTCATTTTTTAGGGAAAGAAAGATCACTGGTCAAGTTGTGTTTGTTAATGTTCTGTAAAGCTAAGGTGGAAGTCTGTTTTCTACGGATCGCAACAAACTTTCAATTCTACTAACTGGTACAGTTGTGTTTGTTCTGTAACATTGAAATGAACTCATTTTTTTTGGATTGCAACAAACTTTCAATTCTACTAGCTGGTACAGTTGTACTGAAGTGAACTCAGTTTTCTACTGATCGCAACAAACTTTCAGTTTTACCAGCTGTAAAAAAAATTGAACAAATTCATAATCTTTGTGAAAATAACTTTTAATGTTCAGTTCCAAGGGATGATGTTTTATCTAGACTTTCAGAGGGCTGCAAACAGACTTTTTGTAGATTTCAATGAAACAAATATAACAACCTTTAAAAAAGCAAGATTTACAAAATCTCTGAAAGAAAATAAAACAAACTTGCTTACTTCAATAAAAGCTTTGGTTGCTCATGAGATCTCTTGTATGTTTTATGTATCACACAAAGCGTAACCACCCAAAAAAAAACACAAAATAAACAACACAATTAAAGACAAATCACAACACAACCTGTTTTGTTAACCTTGTGAAAAAATTAATTGACATAATGTAATAATGAAAAGATTTCAGACAAGCATACTACAGTAGGGGAAATAGTCAATCTGTTTGTTATAGGGCTGGTAAGTAGGTCAACAACCAGTTCTACGGCTCAATAAAACCTGCATGAGCCATAGAACTGGTTAGTGACCTACTTACCAGCCCTATAATACATCTGTATATGCTTAGACTTTTACAATTTTCAAATTCAAACAGATCAATAATTTCTTTACAATATAGGCCTAATACAAACAAAATTATTTTAGAAATTAAAAATTATTACAATTGGTGTTGTACAAATAATCGTGACTACAATTATAATTAAACATGTTATCATGAAAGCTCGTAGAAGCGTAATAAAACTGTGCATTGAAATGTACATTATCACTTAATCTAATATTATACATGGACTATTTTGAATACCTGCTTAAGGGGGTCATCCATAAATGACGTCACGCTTTTTTGACGATTTTTACCTCCCCCCTCCCCTCCGTCACACGTCGTCACAAAAAGTCAGACCCCCCCCCCTAAAATGACGTCACACCTCAACTTACAACCCCCCTCAAAATTGCAGTTGAATTTTTTTTAAAACATCGATATTTTTCCAAAATCTTGTCTAAACTATTACAATTTATTAAAACAGTTATCTAAAATGCGAAATAACGTCTAAAATTCGTTTTCTAACATTGCTTTTTTATAATGCAAAAATGTGACGTCGCAATATCTGAATCCCCCCCTCCCCCCTCATCACACATCGTCACAAAATTACGGACTCCCCTCCCCCTACGAGTGTGACGTCATTTATGGACGACCCCTTATCACTTAATCTAATATTACACATGGACTATTTTGAATACCTGCTTAATTCAGAAAGTTAGTAAATATCTAGAAGAATTATTACTCTGATGAAAACTAATACTAGAGCGAAAATGACAAGGTAAAAACTGACGCTGTAAATTACATGCCAGAGGAAACTTTTTAAAAATGTTTTAACTAGATGTTTTATTTTATTGTTCAGTATGGTCCAAGTTTATTTTACTAGTCTTTGGTGTGGGTTATCCCATAAGATCCGAGTTTTTCTGTTATTGTGATGTCCTGGTTTGAATTATCTACTGCTTGTTCTTGTCCCTGGGATCACTACATGTTATATCAGCAGTAATTTGTGTTAACTAAATTTAACTAATGTAGTTGCATAGATATTTTTTTTAGCACAATCCTCCTAAAAATATGTGCATCTGTACACGACGTCTTTGGTGTGTGTTGTAGATCAGCTGACATGCAAGGGATCTGGCAACTTCCTGTTAGTGTTGCCATACATGAGACAAACAAAATGGCGGTCTACTGGGAATGCTGCTTCGTGTGCGCTCGCCAGATCACGTGATAGATACTGAAACATAAAATAACCACGGTATAACATAATTAGGCTTATAAAGTCAACTAAAAATATTGAATACAATGGACCGCACAACGCAGGTGAAACAGAGCCCATCTGTTAGGATGGCTACAATTTTACAATTTGATATTTTATGCCGGGTACATGTTACACCTGAATTATCTCAATAACAGGCACAAGCCCAAGAATAGAACCAATGGACGTAGCTGTTGTAAGAATAGAACCAAAGGACATAGCTGTTGTAGGAAAAGAACCAATGGACGTAGCTGTTGTAAGAACCAATGGACATAGCTGTTGTAAGAACAGAACCAATGGACATAGCTGTTGTACGAATAGAATCAACAAACCTGAGGGCCAGGGCGACGATAGAGAAGACCCCAGCTATGACGAGGTACGTCAGCCCCCTGTACACCCCCAGGGACGCGCTGTACAGCGATAGGGCCGGGACGCCCGCCACAAAGCTGATACTCTCACAGACACCCAGCAGGGAGAACAGGGAACCTGGGGACAGAGAAATATTCTTGTAAACAACGATCATGACGATGTAGGTTGAGGTTGTCCAAATGACAAACATTTTTCTGCCTATTTTTTTTACTCCCTCTTCCCATGTTCAACATAATTGTTTTACAAAAAATCTCTTCCTAAAACGATGTCACCTCCCTGTCTATTAAAAAAATAAAATTATTTCTGTAAAGGGATATAACCAGTCTAAAATACTTTGGTGTAAATATTAATCGAATAATCTCCCTTTGAACTGTCATAACTATTTTCAGTTTGTATAAACATTTTTATGAAATTGAAAATCCCAATCTATTCCACGTTAATTTTCATAACAAGTTACAAAAAAAAAAAGCTTTTTTTAAAAAAGTAAAAAGAAAAGAAGTGCTAAAATTTAGTTAAAATCACATTTTAAAATGAAACTTTTGAATCCCTCCTCCCACTTGTTACTCCTCGTCACATAAGTTCAACCCCCTCCCCAACCACCCACAGCCCTGGGAGTGATAAGATGTTGATAATGAACCCTTTTTAAATATTTACAAAAAATGCCGACATAAGTCGTAACGCCAATGACGTCATCCTTACCCTGCGGCTCGGCTCCAACGAGCCGTGACGTCTCCCCCCTGATGACCCCGAGGGGTAGAGCCATGCCGATGGACAGAAGGATAACTGGATGAGAAAAAATTATCATGTGAAAACGTCGCTAATTTTCAACTAGGGAATACAGAGGTGGGACTATACAATTCATTCTTTAAAAGTTAACAATTTTTTTTTTTTAAAGTTAGAGCTTTGTTTAAAAAAAACAATCAAATTGACAATTTTTAAGGTACAGAGGGGTCGAATGGTAGATCGTTTGGACTTATACATGTGGGACGTTCAAGAGTCCACCCAGCTCTGATGGGTACCTGTCTTATGTGGGGGAAAGTAAAGGTGGCTAGGCATAGTTTTGATCACACCATCCTTTCATATGCAGAGTTCAAGAAATGAATGAACTCTACTTCATCTGCCCGATGAATCGCTAGGTCAATTTATCAAGATCAATTAATGTAAGCCATGTAAAGTTTGATCCGATTAAAGGTGCACTGTCGCTTATGCTGATTCTACAACCGTGGCGTTAGGGTTGTTATGTAGGGGATGATGATGTCGATTTAGATTATGGTATGTAATCTAGTGGGGAGGTAACCGCTACTTACTCGAGTAAATCTCCGCGTCGTTTGACGCCACAGCAAACATGACGCACGAGCCGACAGACGTGAGGGCGCCCAGCACCCCCAGCAACACCCCGGGGAGGCGCCCTATCAGGAGAGGCACGGCCATGATGATGAACAGGCTGTAGGTGATCTGCTGCCCAGTCTGGAACCAGCCAATCTTGACGGCATCCCAGCAGAAGGGGTGGTTCATCATGTACAGGTCTTGTATCTGGGGAGTTCAAAGGTCATCAGGTACAGGTCTTGTATCTGGGGGTGGGGGGGGGGGAGTTTAAAGAACAGGTCATCAGGTACAACATTTTAACTCCATGGGGGATGGGGGAGGGGGTCAGGTATACAATTTGTAAATTAAACCTGTGTATAGCGGGTGTATAATTTTACACATGTTCCCCACCTGAGGTAGAACAAAGATGATCAGCGGTAATGTTAGAGGAAATGCCTGTTTGGAATTAGAGGCTTTTAGGAAGATTGGCATGTCGGGTCATACAAACTGTCCTCTTTGTTATCCAAATACTGATTTTATTTAGCATTACTTTAAAATGCTATCTAAAAACTATTGGATTCCCAAAAACTGACCTTTATTTACCTACACGGATTTGACTGTTAAATGCTAGAAAACTGTCCATTGATGGCCACAAAAGATGAGTTATAAACCCACAATATATTCAATGAATCTCACAAACCAAGCATAAAAAATAGACTACCAATATTACGATGCCCACAATTAAACTTATAAATAATCAGAACCCAACCATTTATGCCTATACGATCCAATGCCCACAAGCCAACCATTAATGCCCAAACGATACAATGCCCACAAACCAACCATTAATGCCCAAACGATACAATGCCCACAAACCAACCATTAATGCCCAAACGATACAATGCCCACAAATAAACATTAATGCCCATACGATACAATGCCCACAAACCAACCATTAATGCCCATAAGATACAATGCCCACAAACCAACTATTAATGCCCATATGATACAATGCCCTCAAATCAACCATTAATGCCCATATGATAAAATGCCCACAAACCAACCATTAATGCCCATACGATACAATGCCCACAAACCAACCCTCAATGCCCATACGATACAATGCCCACAAACCAACCCTCAATGCCCAAACGATACAATGCCCTCAAATCAACCATTAATGCCCATATGATACAATGCCCACAAATAAACATTAATGCCCATACGATACAATGCCCACAAACCAACCATTAATGCCCATATGATAAAATGCCCACAAACCAACCATTAATGCCCATACGATACAATGCCCACAAACCAACCCTCAATGCCCATATGATACAATGCCCACAAACCAACCCTTAACACCCTTACGATGCCCACAAACTAACCATTGAGTATCCCACTATGGCGACCATGTATATAAAAAAAGAAAACAGCGCCAGTCCAATCATCTGTTTGACCCTCCTCTCCTGAGATTTGTTGAAAGGTGACGTTAAATTTTTCACGTAAGTCCGCAAGGACCATTTCTCCCTCTGTTGACCCAGGCGTGGTCGACGGTCGGGGAGGAAATATGTCAATATCAGCCTGTAGAGCAGAACGTGTGTTACAAATGTCAATATCAGCCTGTGGAACAGAACGTGTGTTACAAATGTCAATATCAGCCTGTGGAACAGAACGTGTGTTACAAATGTCAATATCAGCCCGTGGAACAGAACGTGTGTTACAAATGTCAATATCAGCCTGTGGAGCAGAACGTGTGTTACAAATGTCAATATCAGCCTGTGGAACAGAACGTGTGTTACAAATGTCAATATCAGCATGTGGAACAGAACGTGTGTTACAAATGTCAATATCAGCCTGTGGAACAGAACGTGTGTTAGAAATGTCGACTGAGATTAACTTTACACATCAACCCTGTTTATATCCAGAGTTTCTTCCAGGCATGTTTTCGGGGGTGGGGAAGGGGGGGTCTGAGCTTTTAGTTCATTTAACGTTTGAGAAATGTAGCCCTGTACAAAATGACTAAAAGAAGACCGTAGAAATGTCTGTAAAACGTCTGTAAAATGTCGGTAAAAATATTAGTAAAAATGTCTGTGAAATCTCTCCTAAACATCAGTAAAATATCTGTAAAACATGTTTAAAGCATCTGTAAAATGTCTGTAAAAGTGTCTGTAAAACATCTGTTTAAAACGTCCTTAAAATGTCTGCCCTACCCGAGCGCCATGAAGCTGGCAGACATGAGAGACGGGATAAGGTAGCCGGTGGACACAATCAGCTGACCAGTAGTGTAGTGCAGGATGCTGGACACGACACCTTTGGCACCTTCCAGGAAAGACAGCCAGACGGTCCGTCGTTTGTCCCGTGGGGTCAGATCCGACAGGTAGATATGGGTCACTATATAACATCCGGCTATCTGTAATACAGGTAGATATGGGTCACTATATAACATCCGGCTATCTGTAATACAGGTAGATATGGGTCACTATATAACATCCGGCTATCTGTAATACAGGTAGATATGGGTCACTATATAACATCCGGCTATCTGTAATACAGGTAGATATGGGTCACTATATAACATCCGGCTATCTGTAATACAGGTAGATATGGGTCACTATATAACATCCGGCTATCTGTAATACAGGTAGATATGGGTCACTATATAACATCCGGCTATCTGTAATACAGGTAGATATGGGTCACTATATAACATCCGGCTATCTGTAATACAGGTAGATATGGGTCACTATATAACATCCGGCTATCTGTAATACAGGTAGATATGGGTCACTATATAACATCCGGCAATCTGAAACACAGGTAGATATGGGTCACTATATAACATCCGGCAATCTAAAACACAGGTAGATATGGGTCACTATATAACAATCTATAACACAGGTAGATATGGGTCACTATATAACAATCTATAACACAGGTAGATATGGGTCACTATATAACAATCTGTAACACATGTAGATATGGGTCACTATATAACACCCAGCAATCTATAACACAGGTAGATATGGGTCAATATATAACACCCAGCTACTTAAAATAAGGTAGAGTTGAGTTACTATATAACACCTTTCCTCTACTTCACCTACTTACATTCCCCCCAATTCCCTCCACGGCGTATCCCACATACAAGAGCTTGAGGTCAAGGTTCCAGAACACGATGACCGACAGCAGGGCGTTCTTGACCATGCAGCAGAAGGTGGGCAGTGCCAGCAAGAAGTTCCTGCTGACCAGGGAGGAGATGGCGCCAATCAGCAGACAGCCCAGGATCCCCAGACACGATGACGTCATGGCCAGGTTCATCATAAGCTCTGACGTCATATCCTGGATGGTTTGGGTCACGGGGTCAGTGGAGGAGTTCCCTGACGTCACGTTGACGCATGGGTTGCTGGGGTAGGGAGAGAAATATGGTACCGGTTGCTAGTTAATTATGTTAATTTAAAACTTAATATCAACCATCTGGTTGTAAACTTTGATTATATCTATCTACCCATGCTGATAGGCAAGGGAGGTAAATATAACTAGGTTTACGAGAATTAGGCAATAGCCCATTTATCTTTATTTCATACAAACTGAGCATCTTGTTAGTTAGAAACTAACTTAATTTAATATCCAGTATATAAGCGCTCACATTACAGGTCTAACGATCAATCGGACAGATGAAGTTGGGTTCATGTGTTTCTTGATGAATGGATCGTATGGTCGCACTATGCCCAGCCGCCTTTAATTTCCCCAACGTCAATCAGGTACCCATCAGAGCTGAGTTGACTCATTGAGACTCATCTGCATTAAACTACAACCATCCACAACCAACCACTATCCACAACCTACTACCACCCACAATCAGTGTTTCTTTCAGGCTATCTTCTTCGGGGGGGGGGGGGGGGCACTTGATATTTTCGGAGGGGGGGCGGACTCAATTTTCTGGGTGGGGCCCTGACACTATGTTTTCTATACAAATTCCATTTCGATCAGGGGGTGGGGGATAGACTTTCTTCGCCCACCCCCTCCCCCCTCCGAAGAGTTGCCTGGAAGAAACTCTGTCCACAACCTAGCTTCAACAACCATCTACCAGCCACTAGAACTACCACATTGCTAACAATGATTACCACACCTGCCTAGCACAACACACACGACAGTAAAGTGAGTATGAGATACCTTGACGTCTGCCCGCTAGCATTACCCAGCAGCTCCGTAGAGTACCTCTGGTAGATGTACTGCTCAATCAACGGGGAGAAAATACGATAGGCCGCGCTGACAAACAGCGAATAAATGTTCAGTAGAATAAAGGGAAGTAACTCAAGGGAACCTTTCGGATTGCCCTCGATGGAGTTGTGTCCCTTTTGATGGTTTGATATTTGTGAGTTGTCTTTCTTGATGAGGGTTTCTGTTGACGAGGTGCAGTCGTCATCGTTGAAGCTGTCGTTGACGGAGACGGCTGTTGTGGGCGGCTGTCCTGTGTTTTGGTAGTCGTCGTCTTCGTGGAGCATGTCAGCTGTCGTACGGAGCTGTTCATGTTTTTCTTTGTGCGACCTCGATGCCATGATGGAGCAAGGGAGACAATACTTCTAATGAATTATTCTACTTTTATCATGACATGGTGTAGAGAGTTATCCTCAGTCTAGAAAATTTCCTGTGACAGAAAAAAAAAAGATAATTAAAATATTGCTTGTTTTGTTGATTTGAATAATTAAATCTTAATCAATATGACAATCACGAAAAACGTTCAACCCACCAATCTCGTCCCCCTATCCCTTTTATCCCTCTACATACAGACATGTTGAATTATACTGTGATGTGATTGGTGTATAACAGGGGTCGGCAACCTTTTGAGACGGAAGAGCCAAAAGTTACAATTTACCTAATTTCCCAGTTTTTAAAGAGCCACTAACGTTTATATCAATATTATGAAATTGATTAGGATTATATATATATATATATATATATATATATATATATATATATATATATATATATATGTATATGTATATATATATATATATATATATATATATATATATATATATATATATATATATATAATTTAAATTAAATATCTTTTAAATATGAAATAATATTTATTCATATGAAAACATACTCATGTTTCGCACAAAAAGTATTTTAGTATCAAAGTATTTATCTAGCTCTGCTAGAATAATAAAATCAGTAATCAAAGTATATAACTTAAATTATTGAATACTATTTACACTAGTTTGGTCTTGCATGCCTTTTGAAAGTTTGTTTAAACCTGGCTCATAACTTGTTTTCAGTTTCAAGCACGCCTCTAGATTTGATTTTTATTTGTTAGTTGGCTTCTATTCTTTGTATTAAATTCATGCAAGAAAACGCTTGCTCGCGTGAATATGTTGATCCGTAGATCGTTAGCACCCAAAATCTCAACTTCTTCACATCACTAGCATCATGGAAGACTTCCATGCATCACACAATAGTGCTTCAACTCGCGGAATTTCTTTTAGAGCTGTCCAGTTGTATAGTGAAACGTGCATGTTTTACTGGACCTCAAACTCTCCTAACTTGCTCTTGAGATCTGTGAACTTACCGCTCCAAAAATGTTTGGTTTTCAAATCCAGCAATAGCATTTGAAGCGAGCAAGCATCAATTCCAAATGGCTCAATGTTGATCTCATTTTTATTTGTGCTGGGAGGATATAAAATGAACGCCAGTGTACTTTTGAATTGCTCAAACCTCTTAGTTAATCCATCCTTCGTTTTGTTGATAGAAATGCTGAAGTGATACATGTTAATAGTAGCGTTGGTTTCACCACGATATTTTTTTCAGATTTTTCAAAATAATGTAATTTACAGGTCTCCGTGTCTTCAACAAAATGAGGTAATTTTTTTTTCGAAACAAGCATCTTCTTCAAGCAAGGCATGGCTGGGTTTTCCTTTCCATTTAGATTTAGCTCGTTTAGTTTCTTTGTGATATCCACCATGAAGATGAATTTTTCAATTCGGGATGAACAAATTAATAGTAAATACATTGAAATAGAGAGTAGCTAAATGTTCTTATAGAATAGCGAGTGTTTATTGTTTATGTTTATTATTTTATTGTTCATTACCGAGTGTTGCAGAACAATATTTTTTTGAGTTTTGAAAATAAAATAAAATAATTATTAATATTTGTGCATGGAACTCAAGAGCCGCATCTCGACATCAAAAGAGCCGCATGAGGCTCGCGAGCCGCAGGTTGCCGACCCCTGGTGTATAACGATAATTACTATGAGAAGATTGGTTTATAACAATAATTACTATTAGAAGATTGGTGTATAACAATAATATTATGAGAAGATTGGTGTATAACAATAATTACTATGAGAAGATTGGTGTATAACAATAATTGCTATGAGAAGATTGGTGTATAACAATAATTACTATGAGAAGATTAGTGTATAACAATAATATTATGAGAATATTGTTGTACAACTATAATATTATGAGAATATTGTTGTATAACAATAATATTATGAGAATATTGTTGTATAACAATAATATTATGAGAAGATTGTTGTATAACAATAATATTATGAGAAGATTGTTGTATAACAATAATATTATGAGAAGATTGTTGTATAACAATAATATTATGAGAAGATTGTTGTATAACAATAATATTATGAGAAGATTGGTGTATGAAAATCATGACTATGATCTGATTGGTGTGTGTGTCAATGAAAGAAAGGGGCGATAACTCACTACAGTACCCATACGTACGAGTCCTCACAGAACCTCTGAAGCTCCAGCTACCCCAGTTCCACGAGTACTCCAGCCTGGGGCAACCTGTCGTACACTAGCACCACACGACCAGCAACGTGTGACAGACTGACAACAATCCCGTGTGACAGACGAAGAAAAAATACAATTGACGTCGGTCTGTCATAGCTATTTAAACGACAAGTTTCAAGATAAAAAACAAATTGTGTAATCTTGTTCAAGGTCGCGATTATTGTTATGTTATCTAAGCCTGATAGAGCAACATGGAACGTGTGTTGAAGTGGGCCGTACAGGTCAATGGTTTCAGATAAAAGAACGATAACTGATGCCTTCAAATGACAAGAAAAAATATGAGCTTTTAAATACACTGAAAACGAAACAAATAAAACTAATTTTCTTTTTGTAATAAAAGATTTGGTCGCTCATGAGGTCTCTTACTTATTTAGCGACCAAAGCTTTTATTTAGAAAGCGAGTTTTGTCGGAGGGGGGGGGGGGGGCGGCGCTACTAATAAAGCGAACTAGGTGGTCGCCTAGGGCGCTGTCCATAGTGGGGTGCAAAAATGAATACCTAATAATTAATTACTTTGATTACATTATGTAAACTATAGACAGGGTATTATACAAAGGTGTTGCGATTTATTTCGGCGCCCAGGATGAATTAGGCCTACCAGTTTTTGGGCCCTCCTCCCCAAATTAGGCCCTAATGGGCCTATATAGGTCATATAGGTGTTCGCGTTGCTGAAAATACCCCTCATGAGTACTCAGGTTTACGCCAATGAAATGGTTTGGGAAGGGGGAAGGTAGGTAAAATAATCTTTTTTCTCGGAGATCAGGAAATACGTGGGTAAAAAAATTCACATTTTAAAATTTACTTTGATACAAAAAATATCATTTGTGATTGAAAAAAATAATTAATTTATGATTTTAATAATTTAATAATTAATTAGTTGTTTAAATATCTACTGCTTTAAAGTTCTTTTAGTTAGTTTGAAAGTTGAACTCCAAGTATAAAAAATACGAGCAGTCAATGGCAATGCAAAGAGTCTATTCGTAATGCCAGTTTATGTTAGTAATACATTTACACTAAGTGAATCGCAATATTGGTGTAAATCCGTTTAACTTGGATGGCTAAAAAAGGGTGTGTGCCAGCCAAATCTACCAGTGACGGAAGACAAAAAAAAAAAAAAAAAAAAAAACCCACAACAGAAAAAAACTGCTTTAGTGTGTTGTTCGTAAGATTTTCTAAATCAACTTGATAACACTTGCTTGCTATCACGAAAAATCACTTGAATGCAATTTGATTGACTGAAACTGTCTACTGATTAAAAACAAGTTGGTCATGCACATTTGTCTAAACGTATAGTTTACTTTAGCCGTATTCCTAGCTTACATAACAGACAGAAGCTACTTCGCCAAATAAATAATTTAGTTTTAATTAATTTCATCTATTAAGCTGAAGAGGTTTACGTATATAACAACATATTTTCTGCTTTATGCTTCAAACCGAAAAGTCTCGAGTTCGAACCCCCAGGCAGATGAGGTTCGTTAGCTGGGGACAACTCCAAAATCAAACAACTGCTGTCTTGTAGTTTGTTCTTGGTTGGACAAAGGCTATGGAAGCAAATCCAAAAAGAAAAGCAGTCTGAAATCGTAGTCAATGGCCCATATAGAACATAACAAGCTGAGACGTAAAACTTAGTTGGAAAGTTCCAACGTAAGAATAAAGAAAGTAGAAGTAGAAAAATAAAAATATCAATCACAATCATCAATAATAAATATGTGTTACAGTCACAGGTCAAAATAATAAAATATAAATATATAATACAAATATAGATCACAATCATACAAATTAGTTATATGTTGCAATCAGATAAAAAGTGACAAGCGAACAAAGTAGCTATGCAATACTTTTTTTGTAGATTATACCTTGCAATCAAGCAACTCAGTCGTATATAGTACATACACACTCGCCTATCGTACACACAAACACATACACACACATACACACACACATCCAACAACACACTCATGCAATAAACTCTCCTATCGTACACACAAACACACACACACGACAACATACTCACTGATCGTACAAACACACACTCACACAAACTCACACACACCCAACAACACACTTGTCTATCGTACACACACACACACACATGCACCCAACAACACACTTGTCTATCGTACACACACACACACATGCACATATCAACCAACACACATATTATCACAGCAACAAATCCACGAGATGTAACCATCAAGTCCAATAAAGTCACCCCAGCCCGATTACAACCATTGTAGACCAAAGTAGATGACGGCAGCGTACTACGGTCTGTCTGAACATGGTATCGAGTAGATTATTCGATCAAATCTCAATACAATTAACATGTTTTGGTTAATGGAATATCCAGCTTTAATTAAAATAAATTTCTACCCTGAAACAAACGACATGTGTTCAGTATACTAACTAGCTTTCAAATCACGTTTTTCGAACTTCTTTCTAAAATTAATTTGTATTACGTCTTTGTGCCGCTAGTATGTTGTTGACCCGTATTATTTAGTGCGGTGATGTGTGATTGTATATGGTGAAGTTTATGTGTCGCAGTTGTTGATGAAAACACAGACTCACGTCTCGGTGTCATTTGTCACGTTAGGAGTTGACACATTTGTGACATTTGGGGAAGAGATTTGCGATGTATATACTTTTAACAGTGTCCGCCCCCCGCCCCGGAAATTTTAGTCCGCCCCCCCTAAAACTTTCAAGTGTGCCCCCCCCCCCCCCGGACGGAAAAAAAAGCCTGGAAGAAACACTGGATGTGAGATATTAATGATGTGTGAAATGAGAGTTTTTTTAACATCAATGATGTGTTACACGAGAGATTTGTGACATCCAAGATGTGTGATAAATGCTGATGAGCTGGTGAACTTGTCTGGTCGTCTGGCCTCTCGCCCTCGTCTGCTCCAGACTGACAGCACGTCTGTCATGTGTCTGACCGATATTACTTGACAGATGCTTGATGGGATATGATTAGGATTATTGTAATACAGTACGCGGTTATTAACGCTAAGTTTAGAGAGGGGAGGTAATTAAAGTTGTAGAGAATTTAAAGTTTCCTAACGTTTTACAGTTGAGAGTACATGTCTGAAAAGAAGTATTACTATTGTAAATTTGTATCAGTCTCACAAGCCGATGATGAAAACTGGAATAATAAGACGAACAAGGCAAGACAAGATGTTGCTATGAATTACATGTCTGAGGCAAAAAAAAAAAATAGAAACAAAAATTAGGAAAAAAATGTTTTTCTCTGTTAAATGATCACTTATTTTTGTTTTGGTGTCACCCCCTTCAAATGGTATCACCCGTTGCGCTCCATCACTTCCTGTCTTGGCCAAGTAAAGCCGCGACATCAGCTGGTTGGTTGTCAGAGGTGTTACATGAATACATGAATTCAGTTATTCTATTCTGGCTGGCTCGATTTGTCTCCCTTCGTTTCATCTCAAATGAAATACTTTTAGCTATGACTAACGTCGGGTGGAGGGGGGGGGGGGTGGTGTGTGTGTGGGGGGGGGGGGGTAATGTATGCATACAATGTGTACGTCATCTCATTGGTGGAATTATTATAAGTTCACGGGTCAATTAGAGCAGTCTCTATGGCTAAATGTTTAGCTTTCTTTATAGCTAAACGTATCGCTAACGTCGGAAACAGCAAGTTGCAGTATTCAGATTTGGTCAGAAAGGCGGAGTTGTTTCTTACTAAACTAACTGACTTTCTTATAGGACTTAACTAGGTCTTTTATTGAAATTGTGAGTGGGTTTTTCAAACTTTTTTTTTCGGTTTGGTTTAGATTTTTTAATTTTATAATTTTTCACTCAAATGTTTATTGTTTAGGAAGCGTTGTATTTTGATGGTAGATGAAGATGAGTTCTTTTATTTACCCATTAAAGTTTTGTAAGTTTTCAAAACTAAACTGTAGCACGTTTTATTCTCGAAGCCGTAAGCTAATTGTAGCCTCTACGTAGCTAAGTACTGCACAAGTGTTAGCCGAATGTTGTGAATTGTAAAATATTTGTTTTTCTTTTACCTGAAAATTATTTATTAAAATTTAGCATCGTTGCTAAACGCAATTTAAAAAAAAAAAAAAAACCAAGAAAATAAAAAACAAAAGGGTTTAAACTTAAAAAAGTAAGTAAGGTTCCCTTTTAGAACATGTCGGTCCACGGGTCAAGTGAAGTATAGTACACTTGTTTCTGTGACCTCGGCATATGAAGAGATAGTGTGGCCAGCACTATGTCCAGCCGCTTTTTCTTTCCCTAACTTGAGTAAGGTACCCATTAGAGCTGGGTGGACCTAAACGTTATACTGACTTGAACTCGGATTTAAATTCTAGAATTTTGGGCTAGAAGTCTAGCGCTCTACCTCTAGGCCACGCCATCCCACGGGTTCAAACGTTGAAGGGAGAAAATAAGGAGAGACAACCTCAATGTATGTATGTATGAGATGCAAAGATGAAAGGGAGAATTAATGTGAGTGCTGAAGACTTTATTCTTTTTTTTTTGTTGCTCTAGTTCTGCCTTGTCATTCGCGAATTGATGCGGGATTAATTAACAATTGAATTCATAATTAAGTGTATTAGTATTATTAGCAAGATGCTGAAATGTGAGTGTAAAAGTACAATCCGGTTAGGCTAATTCTAGTCTATAATCATCCCACGAATGTTGTTGTGTTGCTTTATTTATTTGGAGATTTAGATACAATGTTCAAAACATATAACAAGTGGCTGGGTGGTAGAGTGCTTGTTTCCAAACACAAAATCTTGAGTTTGGATCATGGGCTCCGTTGCGTTGGAAATCTCTGAGTCCACTCAGCCCTGATGAGTACCTGACTAACGTTTAGTGAAGCAATAGGGCTGGCCACACTATCCCATTCATATACGTGTCATAGAAACAGGTTAACTCTACTTCATCTGTACCATGGACGTACACGTCCAGAAGGGTGCTTTTCTTTTACTGTATTATTTTATAACTTTATTTATAATATCATCTAAAATTTAGAATTCCTTCTCGTACGTCCTCGCTCAATAACCAGGAGTTATGGGATCCACCATGGAAAACACTGACTCCACCATAATGGTGAAGACTATTCCAACCTACAGACGCCAGGCTAGCCTCATAGAACAAGAGGAGGGGGGTGAGGTGGCGGAGAATGGGACACTGCTTTCATCTGGATGTGGCGACATCGTTTTTGAAGATTGCCAGTAAGAAGTTCGTGTATATGTTGTGTTTTATCATCATCTTTTATTTTTTTTGTTCAAGATACATAGAGTCATCACAGAAAACTCCCTCCACTTTTGTCGGTCTCCGGCGATTCTCCTTGCAGTCCCCCAAGACAGTCCTGCCTCTGCCAGCTGCTTCCCCACTGTTCGCCTCCACGTCTCTCTTGGCTTCCTGCTTTCTTATTATAAATCGAGCATAATAGACATTAACGAAGAGTGACTACGTGTACATTGTTGCCTAATGAAACATATTTCCACGAAACATAAAAAATAATAATTGGTAAGTATAATGAGTTTGAATTTGAACATTTGCTGTGTGCGCAATTTCCATTGCGCAGTTTTCCGATTGGGCATCTATCTGAGAAACCACTGTAACAGGTGTTGTAGATGTAGCTGGACGTCATTTTGTCAATTCCCGCATACATGTTGGAGAGTGAGTGCTGAAACATTCCGGTTAATTATGACACAGACTAGGATTAGCGCACCATGTGATATTGATGTCAACATCTAACTGGGATAATGACTAAGATTAACTCCAATAATTAGCGACCATTAACATGGGAAATTTACACGCACAGAAAAAAGACTCAGCACAAATACATTCGCACACACACACACACACACACACACATATATATATATATATATATATATATATATATATATATATATATATATATATATATATATATATATATATATACACACCAGTGGTGTAGCGAGGTCGGGTGTCACCCGGTGCGGCACTTAATGGTGTCACCCCCCCAGAGGCGTTGTGACCCTTCCCGGGGACAAACATTCAAGTTATCGATTTGCACCCCCCTCAAGTTTTCGATTTGCACCCCCCCCCCCCTTCAAACTTTCGATTTGCACCCCCCCCTCAAGTTTTTCTCTATATATTTTGCTATTTTTTGCCTTGGTGTCACCTCCTTAAATGGTGTCACCCGGTGCGGTCCGCACCCCCGCCCTCCCCCTCGCTACGCCCCTGACACACACACACACTCACACACGTAGTGAAAAATTATCAAACTAATTTTTTTTCAAAAATATTATGTTTATTGCAGTGAAAATGAAAAAGAATACCCTGTCGATCGCGTAGACGTCAATCACACCTCCATGTTCAAGTACCTGCTGTCAATGTGGCCCCTCCTTGTTATCATAGCCACGCCCCTCGTCTGTCTGCCCATAGTGCTGGCTGTGGATGAAAAGGTTACCGGATAGAACTCATTGAGTTTCTTTCAGGCATTTCTTTGGGGGGCGCCACCTTCTACCCTACCGAAGGAAATAAAATTTATATAGAAAATAAATGATTTTACCAATATCCTACTCACCGGAAAATTTAATCCCCTCCCCCTCTGAAAATTTTAAGTGACCCTCCCTCTGTGAAGGTGGGGGTGAAAGAGATGATGAAGAGAAGATCAAACACACAGTCCAATTCAAGGTGTTCTATAAATCTTTATTTAAACAAATCAATTATTCTACTTCTACCTAACTAGCCTATACTATATGCTGTCTACTAACACTACTAACTACACACTCCCATGACCAACCCTAACACTATCTACCTCTAACTCTCTACCTAACTCTACATTTCTTTGACCGTTCACTACTGTTGCCTATCACCAACTGCTTGGCCTAACTACTGACCCACGCTCCAGTGGTCAGCTGACCGTCCCACGTGACCGGTCAGCTCCTGTACTTTCATTGGTTTGTTTAGCTAACTAAGCTATAGTCTGTTTCCACAATCTACTTCATTTCTAACCTAACTCGCGTCATCACACTCCCCCCCCCCCTCCATCGGAGAAAAAAGTCTGAAAGAAACACGGCTTATTGAATATATTTATCTAAAGTCTATGAACTTCAATCATCAAATTAAAAATATAGGTACGATCTTATGAGACTAAAAGTCTACAGCAAATCCAAGGTTGAAGCAATTAAGACTTTGCAACAAAATTGTATTTCAATATACGCTATCTAACCAGTAATTGTAAGTTAGGTATAAATGGTATAAATGGTAACCATTAACCAACGTGATGAGGCTGCTAAGAACTACGTCGGATTTGAAGGCGTAGAATCTCTTTCCGGAGTAAACAACTATTTCACCTCTCATCTTATTCATATATTCTCGAATTCCTTTTGATTACCAATGACATAATTATTTCCCTTTACCTAACACTCCTTGAGTTATGCCACCACCCATGTCTAGTATAGTCTATAAGCTACACCGTCTCAAGTATCATACCTGTATTACAGCATCAACAGCCGGCCAGGTGTGCCTACGTCATAGTCATCATGGCTGTCTACTGGACAACCGAGGCACTGCCCATAGCTGTGACGTCACTGGTACCTGTCGTCCTCCTGCCAGCCCTAGGGGTCATGACGACACGGGAGACGTCAGCTGTTTACTTTAGTGTAAGTTGTAAGCTGTGTAAATGTGGATGTGAGTTGTGAATGTAAGCTATGGATGTAAGCTGTGGATGTACGTTGATGTAAGCTATGGATGTAAGCTGTGGATGTTCGTTGATGTAAGCTATGGATGTAAGCTGTGCATGTAAGCTTTGAATGTAAGCTGTAGACGTAAGTTGATGTAACCTGTGGATGTAAGTTAATGTAAGCTGTGGATGTATGCTAGACATGTAACATGTGGATGTAAGTTTATGTAGACTATAGAAGTAAATTGATGTAAGCATATTGGCTATCGAAGTATGCTATTATTACTTCTCGCATTTGAATTTTGTTGCGTTAGGTAAGAACCTTGTTGGATTTTATATTTTAGTTTTTGCGTGAGATTCAGCTTTCAAAAAGTTATTTAGGGCTGTCACTAACTATGACATCCATGCAGGCTTACACAGACGCCTCCTGTCATCTCCACCTTCTACACGTTGGTTAGCGGACTGTACTCACTTTGACAATATAACCTGTTCATGTCATTAGGTGGAACGTTGTCGTCTAGCTGCATTAGGATTGCTAATTAGACTTTAATTAATCGGCCCTTTGTGTAATTTAGCAATTGTACTTGCAAATTGGGTTTTCATGTGTTTTTATTTTTGTCTGTAGAAACGTTTTTCAGCAGGTATTTTTGTATGTAAAAATCATTACCGCTGCTCTCTGATAAACTCGTATAGGATTCAGGTGACGATTGTTACAGTGACTCAGCAGAATACTTGCACCAGCCTTCAATACTTAAACGTTGTGTTTTAAAATATTGGTTGATTAACGCTATACACAAACCCTCAATGAACTAATGGTTGAATGACATTATACACAAACCCTCAATGAACTAATGGTTGATTAACGCTATACACAAACCCTCAATGAACTAATGGTTGATTAACGCTATACACAAACCCTCAATGAACTAATGGTTGATTAACGCTATACACAAACCCTCAATGAACTAATGGTTGATTAACGCTATACACAAACCCTCAATTAACTAATGGTTGATTAACGCTATACACAAACCCTCAATGAACTAATGGTTGATTAACGCTAGACACAAACCCTCAATGAACTAATGGTTGATTAACGCTATACACAAACCCTCAATGAACTAATGGTTGATTAACGCTATACACAAACCCTCAATTAACTAATGGTTGATTAACGCTATACACAAACCCTCAATGGACTAATGGTTGATTAACGCTATACACAAACCCTCAATGAACTAATGGTTGATTAACGCTATACATAAACCCTCAATGAACTAATGGTTGATTGACATTATGCACAAACCCTCAATGAACTCATGGTTGATTAACATTCTTTCAGGACACATCAATGCTTTTCATGGGCGGATTCTTCGTGGCTTTAGCTATTGAGCAGTGGGATGTCCACAAGAGAATCGCCTTGTTCGTCTTGAAGATTGTTGGTGCCGAGCCCAAATGGTAATGTCTAAATATTCACTGATCTTAATTCATAAGGAGTGTAGATTTCGTCTACGTTATATTTATATAGATAACACAGAGTTTGCCCAGAAACTTCAGAACACTTCCACGCCTAGGAGAGTTTTTGCACTGACCCATATCTTTATTAAGAAAACTGGGAGTGCTATAGATTGTAGTTTGAGATATTGCCAAAGAGAATGAAAGCTGACCGCAAATGACTACCCTATCAAATATTTAAAAATGTCGCCGACAACACAACCTGTAACTTTTCATATTTGTAAAAGGCCCAAAACGAGGCACCAAGAAAATATAATGTCTATTTTCAGAAAAGTTTGAAAAGACTGACCTACTGCTTCAGTAAAATAACTTGTGACACATTCTCCAACCCTGCCTGCTTTATGGGTTTAGTTGTAGCTATTCCCTTCGAGTGTCTCATAGTGTAGTATGTGAACCTTTGAAATGTAGCCTTTTTTTTAGTTAATAGAAACTCAGTCAATTAAAAGATTTTAACGTTTTATCGAAGAAAATCTGTTTCCACCAATAGGTATACAGAATAAGTTTCTGATTTTTCTAGAACCTTCCGTCTAGTAAGTCACTGAGAGGGTCTATATTGAAGGTGAAGAATTTGTTTTCAAACTCGTTTTTTTCCCAGCCTTCTCTTTGGCATTTGTATGGTCACATGGTTCCTGTCAATGTGGATCTCCAACACGGCCACGACGGCCATGATGATGACCATCGTCCAGGCCTTGCTGCAGCAGGTCAAGGACGTCCAGAGAAATCAGCGACCCAAGAGACGTCCAACTAATGAACGAGCCAGGTTAGGACAATGTAACCTTACAATCATTCAAGAACAATGTTTTCATCTTACTAGTTGGATAAAAAAACTTTTTTTTACAATAAACTGTGCTATGGCACGGAAGGTAGAACGCAGATTGGCTGCTAACATGCGAGTCTCGAGTTCGGATCCAGGACTCGAGTCTGTTGGAAGTTCCTAAATCCGCCCGACTCTGATAAGTGGGCACCGGACTCACGTTAGGGAAAGTAAAGGCGACTGGGAATTGTGTTAAGTTCATAGAAAATAGGTGAAATCTACTTTACCTGCCCAGTGTGTCTTGGGCACTGAAGAAAATAATTGAATAAATTTTGCATAGCCTACATCAATGTTATGCCTTAAAAAATTTCTTCTGTAAACTTTTATTAGTACCAGATTACATAACTTTATGCTGACACATGACAGAGCGAGGCTTTCCCTAGGGCTTACACGGGAACAGCTGACAATGGCTCAGCGGACGCCGAGTTTCTGAGACTGAGCAAGGCGCTGTCCCTGACCGTGGCCTACTCGGCCAACATTGGAGGCATCGCCAGTCTGACGGGGACTGGACCTAACCTTGTCCTGTTTGCTGCGGCTCAGAAGTAGGTGGAGCAAGGGTTTTATTCATTTTAATTAGTGTGAACTTTTCTGAATGTCATGAGTTCTAAATGGTAGATATGCACATTTGTTTGCGAACTTTACCAATACCCATACCAGTTTTCTTTGTATCCTGCACTTATTAATGTAAGTCGCAATGAGATATTTAAAAAAAAAACATATCTTGATACATTGACGCGTATTAGAACTGTTTATCTCAGAGGCTGATGTTCATATGTGTTAGAATTGTGTGTTTCTTGATGTTGCTATAATACAACACAGGCGCTTGTGTTAGCAATACATCTGGCTGTAGTATTTATGCTACAAATCGTTTTGATTCTCTTTCATCTTTCAGAGTTTTCGAAGACGTTGGTCTAGAGTCACCGGTCACATTCAGCACCTGGTTGGTGTACGGGTTGCCACTGTCTCTGCTGCTTGTTCTAGTCATGTTGGTCTGGATGGTTGTCGTGTACCTGAGGTACAGGTAAGTGGTTCTTCAGGTAGATACAGGTCAATCCTTAACGTATGATACAAAATAGATAGGTCTAACAACCCAATACATACGAATCTAAATATTTCATTTGAGTTGTGTGGCAAAGATATGCCTTTTCGTGAGTTATCTCATGCTTTCAGGTCATTTGCTGAGAGATTCTTCAGTTAGAAATTGACTTCTATAACGATGGCGAGGATTCTATATAAGCCAAAAGTATTTTTAAACCATTATTGTAACAAAATATAGTGTTGCCTTTTAGGTTATGCTATTAACATAACGTCTGGGTTCAGACTGTTCTGTCTTTACTTGGACTATATTCTGTACCTTTGTCTACCCTTGGCGTTGAAATATCACTTTCTGTTTACATTGCTATTTCAGTTACAACGCCTGCTTCCACCCTTTACCATGCTATTAACATTCAACTCTGCTAATTGTTCTATCGAACAAAACTCAACTGTCTCCAGTGTGTCTGTGTTGTTGTAGTACAAATATTTGAAAGATCTAACCAAACTAAACTGTCCCTTATGTGTCTATGTTGTTGAAGAATAAACATTTGAAAGATTTAACCAAACTAAACTGTCCCCTGTGTGTCTGTGTTGTTGTAGTACAAACATTTGAAAGATCTAACCAAACTAAACTGTCCCCTGTGTGTCTGTGTTGTTGTAGTACAAACATTTGAAAGATTTAACCAAACTAAACTGTCCCCTGTGTCTGTGTTGTTGTAGTACAAACATTTGAAAGATCAAACCAAACTAAACTGTCCCATGTGTGTCTGTGTTGTTGTAGTACAAACATTTGAAAGATCTAACCAAACTAAACTGTCCCCTGTGTGTCTGTGTTGTTGTAGTACAAACATTTGAAAGATCTAACCAAACTAAACTGTCCCCTGTGTGTCTATGTTGTTGAAGTACAAACATTTGAAAGATCTAACCAAACTAAACTGTCCCCCGTGTGTCTGTGTTGTTGTAGTACAAACATTTGAAAGATCTAACCAAACTAAACTGTCCCCTGTGTGTCTGTGTTGTTGAAGTACAAACATTTGAAAGATCTAACCAAACTTAACTGTCCCATGTGTGTCTGTGTTGTTGTAGTACAAACATTTGAAAGATCTAACCAAACTTAACTGTCCCATGTGTGTCTGTGTTGTTGTAGTACAAACATTTGAAAGATTGAACCAAACTAAACTGTCCCCTGTGTGTCTGTGTTGTTGTAGTACAAACATTTGAAAGATCTAACCAAACTTAACTGTCCCATGTGTGTCTGTGTTGTTGTAGTACAAACATTTGAAAGATCTAACCAAACTAAACTGTCCCCTGTGTGTCTGTGTTGTTGTAGTACAAACATTTGAAAGATCTAACCTAACTCAACTGTACCCTGTGTGTCTGTGTTGTTGTAGTACAAACATTTGAAAGATCTAACCAAACTAAACTGTCCCCTGTGTGTCTGTGTTGTTGTAGTACAAACATTTGAAAGATCTAACTAAACTAAACTGTCCCCTATGTGTCTGTGTTGTTGTAGTACAAACATTTGAAAGATCTAACCAAACTAAACTGTCCCCTGTGTGTCTGTGTTGTTGTAATACAAACATTTGAAAGATCTAACCAAACTAAACTGTCCCCTGTGTTGTTGTAGTACAAACATTTGAAAGATTTAACCAAACTAAACTGTCCCCTGTGTGTCTATGTTGTTTTAATACAAACATTTGAAAGATCTAACCAAACTAAACTGTCCCCTGTGTTGTTGTAGTACAAACATTTGAAAGATCTAACCAAACTCAACTGTCCCCTGTGTGTCTGTGTTGGTGTAGTACAAACATTTGAAAGATCTAACCAAACTAAACTGTCCCCTGTGTTGTTGTAGTACAAACATTTGAAAGATCTAACCAAACTAAACTGTCCTCTGTGTGTCTGTGTTGTTGTAGTACAAACATTTGAAAGATCTAACCAAACTCAACTGTCCCCTGTATGTCTGTGTTGTTGTAGTACAAACATTTGAAAGATCTAACCAAACTAAACTGTCCCCTCTGTTGTTGTAGTACAAACATTTGAAAGATCTAACCAAACTCAACTGTCCCCGGTATGTCTGTGTTGTTGTAGTACAAACATTTGAAAGATCTAACCAAACTCAACTGTCCCCTGTGTGTCTGTGTTGTTGTAGTACAAACATTTGAAAGATCTAACCAAACTAAACTGTCCCCTCTGTTGTTGTTGTACAAACATTTGAAAGATCTAACCAAACTAAACTGTCCCCTGTGTGTCTGTGTTGTTGTAGTACAAACATTTGAAAGATCTAACCAAACTAAACTGTCCCTTGTGTGTCTGTGTTGTTGTAGTACAAACATTTGAAAGATCTAACCAAACTAAACTGTCCCCTGTGTGTCTGTGTTGTTGTAGTACAAACATTTGAAAGATCTAACCAAACTAAACTGTCCCCTGTGTGTCTGTGTTGTTGTAGTACAAACATTTGAAAGATCTAACCAAACTAAACTGTCCCCTGTGTGTCTGTGTTGTTGTAGTACAAACATTTGAAAGATCTAACCAAACTAAACTGTCCCCTGTGTGTCTGTGTTGTTGTAGTACAAACATTTGAAAGATCTAATCAAACTAAACTGTCCCCTGTGTGTTTGTGTTGTTGTAGTACAAACATTTGAAAGATCTAACCAAACTCAACTGTCCCCTGTGTGTCTGTGTTGTTGTAGTACAAACATTTGAAAGATCTAACCAAACTAAACTGTCCCCTATGTGTCTGTGTTGTTGTAGTACAAACATTTGAAAGATCTAATCAAACTAAACTGTCCCCTGTGTGTTTGTGTTGTTGTAGTACAAACATTTGAAAGATCTAACCAAACTAAACTGTCCCCTGTGTGTCTGTGTTGTTGTAGTACAAACATTTGAAAGATCTAACCAAACTAAACTGTTCCCTGTATGTCTGTGTTGTTGTAGTACAAACATTTGAAAGATCTAACCAGACTCAACTGTCCCCTGTGTGTCTGTGTTGTTGTAGTACAAACATTTGAAAGATCTAACCAAACTAAACTGTCCCCTGTGTTGTTGTAGTACAAACATTTGAAAGATCTAACCAAACTAAACTGTCCCCTGTGTGTCTGTGTTGTTGTAGTACAAACATTTGAAAGATCTAACCAAACTAAACTGTCCCCTGTGTTGTTGTAGTACAAACATTTGAAAGATCTAACCAAACTCAACTGTCCCCTGTGTGTTTGTGTTGTTGTAGTACAAACATTTGAAAGATCTAACCAAACTAAACTGTCCCCTGTGTTGTTGTAGTACAAACATTTGAAAGATCTAACCAAACTAAACTGTCCCCTATGTGTCTGTGTTGTTGTAGTACAAACATTTGAAAGATCTAACCAAACTAAACTGTCCCCTATGTGTCTGTGTTGTTGTAGTACAAACATTTGAAAGATCTAACCAAACTAAACTGTCCCCTGTGTGTCTGTGTTGTTGTAGTACAAACATTTGAAAGATCTAACCAAACTAAACTGTCCCCTGTGTTGTTGTAGTACAAACATTTGAAAGATCTAACCAAACTAAACTGTCCCCTGTGTTGTTGTAGTACAAACATTTGAAAGATCTAACCAAACTAAACTGTCCCCTGTGTTGTTGTAGTACAAACATTTGAAAGATCTAACCAAACTAAACTGTCCCCTATGTGTCTGTGTTGTTGTAGTACAAACATTTGAAAGATCTAACCAAACTAAACTGTCCCCTGTGTTGTTGTAGTACAAACATTTGAAAGATCTAACCAAACTAAACTGTCCCCTGTGTTGTTGTAGTACAAACATTTGAAAGATCTAACCAAACTAAACACTCCCCTGTGTTGTTGTAGTACAAACATTTGAAAGATCTAACCAAACTAAACTGTCCCCTGTGTTGTTGTAGTACAAACATTTGAAAGATCTAACCAAACTAAACTGTCCCCTGTGTTGTTGTAGTACAAACATTTGAAAGATCTAACCAAACTAAACTGTCCCCTGTGTTGTTGTAGTACAAACATTTGAAAGATCTAACCAAACTAAACTGTCCCCTATGTGTCTGTGTTGTTGTAGTACAAACATGTGAAAGATCTAACCAAACTAAACTGTCCCCTGTGTGTCTGTGTTGTTGTAGTACAAACATTTGAAAGATCTAACCAAACTCAACTGTCCCCTGTGTTGTTGTAGTACAAACATTTGAAAGATCTAACCAAACTCAACTGTCCCCTGTGTTGTTGTAGTACAAACATTTGAAAGATCTAACCAAACTAAACTGTCCCCTGTGTTGTTGTAGTACAAACATTTGAAAGATCTAACCAAACTCAACTGTCCCCTGTGTTGTTGTAGTACAAACATTTGAAAGATCTAACCAAACTAAACTGTCCCCTGTGTTGTTGTAGTACAAACATTTGAAAGATCTAACCAAACTAAACTGTCCCCTGTGTTGTTGTAGTACAAACATTTGAAAGATCTAACCAAACTCAACTGTCCCCTGTGTTGTTGTAGTACAAACATTTGAAAGATCTAACCAAACTAAACTGTCCCCTGTGTGTCTGTGTTGTTGTAGTACAAACATTTGAAAGATCTAACCAAACTAAACTGTCCCCTGTGTGTCTGTGTTGTTGTAGTACAAACATTTGAAAGATCTAACCAAACTAAACTGTCCCCTGTGTGTCTGTGTTGTTGTAGTACAAACATTTGAAAGATCTAACCAAACTAAACTGTCCCCTGTGTGTCTGTGTTGTTGTAGTACAAACATTTGAAAGATCTAACCAAACTAAACTGTCCCCTGTGTGTCTGTGTTGTTGTAGTACAAACATTTGAAAGATCTAACCAAACTAAACTGTCCCCTGTGTTGTTGTAGTACAAACATTTGAAAGATCTAACCAAACTAAACTGTCCCCTGTGTTGTTGTAGTACAAACATTTGAAAGATCTAACCAAACTAAACTGTCCCCTGTATGTCTGTGTTGTTGTAGTACAAACATTTGAAAGATCTAACCAAACTCAACTGTCCCCTGTGTGTTTGTGTTGTTGTAGTACAAACATTTAAAAGATCTAATCAAACTAAACTGTCCCCTGTGTTGTTGTAGTACAAACATTTGAAAGATCTAACCAAACTAAACTGTCCCCTGTATGTCTGTGTTGTTGTAGTACAAACATTTGAAAGATCTAACCAAACTAAACTGTCCCCTGTATGTCTGTGTTGTTGTAGTACAAACATTTGAAAGATCTAACCAAACTCAACTGTCCCCTGTGTGTTTGTGTTGTTGTAGTACAAACATTTAAAAGATCTAATCAAACTAAACTGTCCCCTGTGTTGTTGTAGTACAAACATTTGAAAGATCTAACCAAACTAAACTGTCCCCTGTATGTCTGTGTTGTTGTAGTACAAACATTTGAAAGATCTAACCAAACTCAACTGTCCCCTGTGTGTTTGTGTTGTTGTAGTACAAACATTTAAAAGATCTAATCAAACTAAACTGTCCCCTGTGTTGTTGTAGTACAAACATTTGAAAGATCTAATCAAACTAAACTGTCCCCTGTGTTGTTGTAGTACAAACATTTGAAAGATCTAATCAAACTAAACTGTCCCCTATGTGTCTGTGTTGTTGTAGTACAAACATTTGAAAGATCTAACCAAACTAAACTGTTCCCTATGTGTCTGTACAGAGGAGGGTGTCTGTGTTGTTGCTGTGCTCCAGAAGCCAACAAGAAAAAACTGGAGAAGGTCAACGCCATGATCAGAGATGAGTACAACAACTTGGGACCTATCACGTGAGTAGATTCATCACTAGTATTAAACGCCTACATGTTTCGAGGTTTTGAAATATTGTCTTCGTGATTACAGATACCCACAAGGCACAGTATTGACAACGTTTGTGCTGCTAGTTGTACTTTGGATCACTCGTGACCTCGGTGGTGTGGGTGGCTGGGGGATGTGGTTTCCACCTGGGTAAGTCTGAAGAGAGGGGGTGGAGACGGGGTAGGGAGATGTGTCCGGTGTAGTCCTGGGCAAGACACAAGCATAAGTCATGGACATGAATATTTTGTTGGTAGTTGGGCTCAAAATTTTTTAATTTTCATTTTAAACCTGTTGGTCCGTAGTGCAGCTGAAGTAGAGTAGACGGTACAAACTGGAGTCAGTTTTGTAACAAGATCAATTTTTATTGCCGTCAACAGCCTGAACGACTCCACGACGTCCATCTTGTTTGGTGTTCTCGTGTTTGTTTTACCTTCAACGTTGCCAGATAATTTTTCAACAAGAGGCAACTCAGGTTGGTCCATTGTGTAATAGCCTTGGCTAGGTTGGTTAATAATGTAAAGTATCTTGATAAGTTTGGTCAAATTTTAACGTGTCTTTGAAATTAATAAATTTGCTAGAATATTAATGGTATTTATATTAAGTGGCTTTGAATATTAGATCTGCCTGTACTTGTGTAAGCCCTTCTAGGGGGGGATACCTAAAATCTACCCTTCTAGGCTTATCTATTACTGTCCGGTCAGTGAAAGCCCGGCTAAACCCAGACTGGTTAATAACCTAACCTTGGTCTAAATAAAAACAAAAAAATCTTTGACAATTAATTAAATTTATTACATGGAACCAATCAAAATAATAAGAAAGATGATAAACTACAGAATACGCAAAGCACGACTAAACAAAACTCAATGGGACAAAACACGACTAAATAAAACAAAACAGACTTAATGGAACAAAACACCCAATTTTGGACCACCGTCCTAGAAAGAGGAAAAATAGACAAATCAATTCAAAATGTAAAAGAATTATACACAAGGCATTAAGTCGACACAATTGAAAATAAAATGGATATTGTACAAAATGAACTTTCAAATGAAAGTAGTACAAAGAATACACTTAAACGTAAATATCAGGTCGCTGAGCATAAAACTACCAGTTCAATGCACACAATTATCAGCCTCAACAAGAGGTTCTCATAAAATATGTAAGTAAAATCTAGACATAGATTCTAGATCCATGACTGAAATCTATTAATATCATGTGCACATCCCTAGTGACTTAGAATGAAACAAACACTCTCCTGGGGATCAACAGAGATCACCACAGGAAGTGTATGTCAACTATAATGGCTATAAAATAGTATAAACAACTTACAAGTAACAACCGAACCCGACAGTCAGGAATGAACCGTAACTGTGAGTCAGGCAACAATAACTCCACTAATTAACCCAACAGCCAGGAGTAAACCATAACCACAGAAAAAAAGCTTATGGCCAGCAGCCAAAAATAACCCGCAAAATAAAAATAAATGTGTTTCTAACTTACCAGGTCTGTAACGAACACATACACAAAATAATAATGACTGGATGATGTACTTTATAATTGATGGAAAGAGGGTCGCCTTCGCCCTCACCTCCGTCGCTTCAGCACACAAAAAGACAGAATCAACAAGCCGGAAATCGACTTTCACATACCTCACACACTACACGTAAACAAATAGTCCGTAATTCACAGATAACAAACCAAACGCCACGAAACATGCAACAGAATTATATAAAAAGACACTTAATATAAATCTTGACAACAATATAAACGAAATATATACAAACTAGCTATAAACAGGGACATTCAGACAAATGAACAATACTTTATTTTCTACCTCAGCCAAGATGACGCCCTTGCTTACATGGGGACATGTTCAAGACAAGATGCCCTGGTCTCTCTACCTACTGCTGGGTGGGGGATACGCCATCGCCCGAGCCTCCACGGTAAGTTGATGTTTGTCAGAATCATCCTCGGTAAGTTGATGTTTGTCAGAATCATCCTCGGTAAGTTGATGTTTGACAGAAGCCTCCTCGGTAAGTTGATGTTTGTATACGCCATCGCTCGAGCCCCAACGATAAGTTGATGTTTATCATGAGAAATTCAATAGTTCAGTCATTGAAGTGAATAAAGCGGGTCCTTTACACAAAATATGGGTGCCCATAGTTACACGCTTACTACCATAATAACTATTGATCCCGGGTCTCATCATTGATTAAGGTCAAGGGTTGTTTATGATTCACGTTTATAAATGTAGCCACACTACTCACCTATAGCCACACTACTCACCTTGTGTTTGTCCAGGTGTCGGGTCTGTCAGCGTGGCTGGGGCAACAGTTCCTCGTGTTCCAGGCCCTCAACCTGTGGCTGGTTCTGCTCATCGTCTGCTACGTCGTCTGTTTCGCTACAGAGTTCACCAGCAACGCTGCCATAGCCACCCTCATCATGCCAGTGTTGGCACAGATGGTAAGTGGTGGCTGGTGGGTGGTTGATGGTGCAAGTCTGTGAAAGTGGTGGGTGGTTGATGGTGCAAGTCTGTGACAGTGGTGGGTGGTTGATGGTGCAAGTCTGTGAAAGTGGTGGGTGGTTGATGGTGCAAGTCTGTATGACACATATTGTTAGTGGTGGGTGGTTCAGGTACCAGAAAGTGGTTTGTAAGTTTTTGGTGGTTCAGGTCACAGAACGTGATGTCATAGATGGTAAGTTTTAGTTTTTAAGTACGAAAATGTTTTACCATCCAAATGATTAAAACCTTTTAATAATTATTGTTTTTTAGCTGTTCAGATATATATATATATATATATATATATATATATATATATATATATATATATATATATATATATATTCATACAATTTCTTAAGTCTTGGAAAAAAATTATCAATGGCTATATTGCTATTAACATTTTTCTTTTTATCGCTATAACGTGTATACCCTTCACAGTCCATCAGCCTGCAAGTGAACCCTCTATTTTTCATGTATCCTGCCGCCATAGCTACGTCATTCGCCTTCATGTTGCCCGTGGCAACCCCACCCAACGCCATCGTTTTCGCTAGTGGAACGCTAAGGGTCATAGATATGGTAAGGTCGCCTTAATGATGGCATAGGGGTGACACGTTTGTCATTTCAAGTCATGTGATTGTCATGTCAATATCCCGTTTAGTTATTGTCATCTCGCCGTTCTGTCATATTTCTGTTACCCTGAACTTATAATAAGAAGGATAGTCTTTGAAAATGCTTTTTTGGCGTGATATAGGGCGGGGGTGTGTAGATTACAAATATCGCAGTTTTGTGTTATGTGTTATACGCACTATTCCATTTGTATTAAATTACTGTTGGACGTTGACAATGCAACCTTTACATACAATGATAGGTGAGTTGTTGGTTCCTTTTCTTTCTTCTTCGTTCTTAATTCTCCACTATTAAGTATATATGTCAACTGGTCATGCGCCATTTCCGATTTCAGCCTGCTTTTTTTTGGATTTGCTTCCATTGCCTTTGCCCAACCAAGAACAAACAACAAGGCAGCAGTTGTTTGATTTTGGAGTTGTCTCTCCTAGAAAAGTCACTGTCCCCAGGTAACGAGACTCATCTGCCTGAGGATTCGAACTCCAGACTTTTCGGTTTAGCAACCACGAGCTTTTCAGACTCGACCACGCCGATCCCGTTGCTTCCTCATTTAAGCTGCCTTGAAAGCTTTATTTACTGTCAATAATTGTTTTTTTTAAAGCGTCCAAAACCATCTTGTTTTATTTTAAGGTGTCCAGTGGTTTGTTCCTCAACATTATTTGTGTGCCGATTCTAGTTTTTGCTACAGCCACGTGGGGTAACGCCTTCTTCAAGTTTGACCAAGTGCCTGAAGAATTTCTAAGAAACGTAACTCAAGCTTCAACAAGATTAAACTCACCATGACAGATATGTACCTGTCACATGCATGCAAGTGTCTCTGCCCCCCCCCCCCCCCCACCACCTTATCCCAATCTATACTTGACAAAATATTGAAAAAAAGGTCTAGCTATATATTGCCTATAGATTAGACTAGTTTCCATTGATTTTATTGAGTATGTGGTTTAGAGTTTGTGAAATCTATGTAACTTTAATTGAAATAGTCCAGATTCTCCTAATTAAAAAGTCGAAATAAATGTGTGGCTTTCGGGCATTTGTCGCATTTGGGCAAGTGTCCCTTCGGGCATTTGTTGCATTCGAGCAAGTGTCCATTCTTTGTTATTTTGTGTTATACTGTTGTAACACCTGATATATGATTGTAACTTTGTTATTTTGTGTTATACTGTTGTTAACACCTGATATATGATTGTAACTTTGTTATTTTGTGTTATACTGTTGTAGCACCTGATATCTGAATGTAACTTTGTGTTATACTATTGTAACACCTGATATATGATTGTAACTTTGTTATTTTGTGTTATACTGGTTGTACATAAATTTTATTTTTACATCAAACAATAGTTGTGGTTGAAAAAATTTCAACAGTGTGTATGTCATTTATAGTAGTCGAGGGTCACTTCTGTAGTTTAGTAGATCTGTTCAGGTGTTTGAGACACTCAACACGATTAGATGCATAAAATCGTTTGTGGCTAGCTTTGACGGAAGTATTTTTACATTCTCTCTTTTTCCATAGTTAACCCGAGTTACATTCCTAGGATTAGTTTATTTATCTGATTGATTCACTTATTGTTTTCAGTTTTAGTCGATTTTTTGAAACACATTTTATTCAGTTTGACCCATTAACTTTTATACACATCTACTTTTTCTGAAAACAAGGGACAATCCACACAACGTTTGGTGGTTAATTCCCTTTGATATACCTGCACATCAACTTGTCTAGCCTAACTTTTCTGTCTTTTTATTCTTTTTGAAATATTGATATTACAGTAACATATAATATTACAATGTAACGAGTGGATCCGTCGATGAAACAAACAAGAACAATTATATAAATTCCTAGCCGAGAAAACTGATGGAATTTCTTTTACATCACAAGTTCTGCAAATAAAACAGGAATTTTTGTAACAAATGAAGAATATAAAACTTGACAGGTCGATAAAACTTTCTTCGACGGTGGCTCCAGGCTTAATGGTTTCCTTTTGTTTTTCAAAGCTTAAAATTTTTCGAATTCTGGAATGTTTAAAAAACTAACAAGATCAACACCTGTTTTCGGCTGATTAACCAAACTACATAATTTATTTTTTCTTTTACCAGCATTTTAAAAGTAGTTAAGACGCAATCCCTCTTTTATAAAAAAACTCACTGCAGTAACACATTATTTCCAACTTCCATCGATGTTAATGTGGCTCAAGACTCGAATCCCAACAATGTTATTGTAGAGTAATTAGCTTGGTAAATGAAAATAATATCCATTATAAAAATCTACACGATCAAAATAGATACATCCAAAGTTGTGCAGCAACTAAGGAGATCGAATTGTAGCCTGTTATATCGTATTTTTGTGGTTCTAGTTGCCAAAGTTTTGGCTATACATCTTCTGAAAGATTATCGAGCAAAACTTCCTAGCTTAATTAATGTGAGGGCTGTAGTGGTTTATTCTCTGACTTTTTTTCTTCCAGTCTTGTTGTAGCACTCCAAACTGTTGGTATCATTTACCAAACTTCAGTCACTCGTGAAATAAAAACTGGTAATTTTATAATAATTTGTAGTTAAGTTAGACATAGTAAAATCAGTAATATATATGAAACTCTTTATTACTCAAGGTTTAAAACATCCTAGTCATGATTTTGTCAGTCGATCTTTAGTTCATAGAAAAGGAGGAAAAACGGAGAAAACAGTGCGCACAGTTTTAACAGTGATTTATTTATGTTACGGTCTAGACCTAGAACGCTGGCTAGAAAACACAAAGCAAAGAGATACGACTGTCATCATTGAAATCATTAGTGGGTATAATCTAGTCCATTTTATTTAGTTTTGAGAATTAGTTTTATATAGTAATAGACTTAAAATGAGATAACCTTGCGTTGTCATCGAAAATGAAATTATTTACAAAGTTTGAAAAACATCGTTGGTTAAAATCTAGTTACAATATTTGACTACAATTCAAATCTTACACAGAAAGACAGTGATTTAAGAAAAAAAAAGAGTAAATTTGATTAGATGTTTCTAAATATACAGATTATGACCTGAGTATTTGACCAGTACTAGTTGCATTTCTTATAAATTCTTTCGGTACTTGGTCGAAATGGAAGAAGGCGTTACCCCACGTGGCTGTAGCAAAAACAAGAATCGGCACACAAATGATACTGAAGAAGAAACCGCTGGACACCTGTGGAAAAAATTTAAAGACTAATATTTTAATACTGCACACGGAAAAAGATTACCTAGAAAATTAATAGTGCTACATATTATGTTGCTCGTATAGTCAAAGGGAAGTAACTCTAAAAAGAGCTACACAGTTACTTACCATGTCTACAACCCGGACTGTTCCACCAGCGAAGACGATGGCGTTGGGTGGGGTTGCCACGGGCAACATGAAGGAAAACGAGGACGCAATGGCGGCAGGATACGTGAAAAATAGAGGGTTGACTTGCAGGCTGATGGACTGAAGAAGAAAGATGGAAACACTCAACTACCAAATAATTTAAACAAATTGTTTTGGCCTTTAGAGGAGAATATACCAAGCTTATATTTTCACTACTATCCACCCGCTATCAAATATATATATATAGGCCTATATATATACATATATATATATATATATATATATATATATATATATATATATATATATATATATATATATATATAATTATATAAATAAATATATATATATATATATATATATGTATATATGTATGTATGTATGTATGTATGTATGTATGTATGTATGTATGTATGTATGTATGTATGTGTGTATTGCAATTTACACCATTACTAATAAATTTGAGATACTCATGTCATATATAGACTCACCATTTGTGTAAGGATGGGCATCATTAACGTGGCTATAGCCGTGTTGCTGGTGACTTCAGTAGCGAAATCTACAATGTATGTTATGATAAGCAGGACAACCCACTGGTTGAGTGACTGGAACACAAGCAACTGCTCACCTAGCCAGGTAGCCAGACCGGATACCTGGGGGAATGAAATTACAAAAATTGTCAAAATAATATTTAGGTTTAGCTTCTGTTTTACTTGTCTTGTATCATCCAAATATTCAGCGATATTCAATTTTAAAAATGTTGTTCAAATGTCTCCAAAATGCCAAACAAAAAAAAAAATACAAAAAAAAAAAAAAAAAAAATCCGGATCGTATGTACAGCTACATCGCTGCTTGATATAATCTACAGTTTATTTCAAAAGACAATGATTTCTTGATGAGACCCTCCCCCCCTTCCCCTCACTGGCCTTTCAGCCTCGACAGGGTAAATTACATAACCCCCCCCCCCCCCCCCACTATCTCAATTAATTAACATCTAATTAGACAACGAGATCTCGTGCACCACCAACCTTATTAAATTTTGACTCACCGTGGCTGCTTGAGCGAAGGCGTAGCCTCCCCCCAGCAGGAGGTACAGGGACCAGGGCATTTTTTCATGGACGTGACTCCACTTCAGCAGGGGCGTCACCTGCGTGTAGGTATCTGTAGGAGTAAACAATGTTTAGCGTCGTCAAAAGTTTTCTGAATGTGTTTTGTGCTGGGAGCACCAATACGTTTCTCTACGTGGGACCATGCGAGACACCACCACCACGTACACACGCCGATCTGCCCCTTCCCCAACTTCAACATCAGCAGCAACAGACCATAATGCTACCGCCCCCACCCCCACCAGTCTGATGAGCTGTGGTTCGCGCCGAATATATGCAATCGTAGAGCCGGGTCGTATTAGTGACGGCTATTAGTGGCAGATAATTAATTTTTTGAAACGATTTGAAACTAAAGTAAGGTAACAAGTTCTGCTTGATCTTTTCATTGTCGTCTGTAAACAGTCGTCACTGACGGCTGCTTGCAAGGGGGCGGGATGGGGGGGGGGGGGAAGGTGAGGATAAACGTTCTTCACGAGCTACTTATAGTATTTTAAGGCAAAATATTTTCAGTCTCAGAATTGGTAGTGTCGAATGCACAAATGTTGAATTACTGAAAGGAAGAAAATAAAACAACTAATAGCGGCGTATGCTGCGCCGCAGGTCGGTTCGTTAAAAAAATAAATGACATCTTTTGACTTACTTGTTTCACCACTCCGTGAGAAAATATTCGGCAGCGATGACGGTAAAACAAACATGAGAATACCAAACAAGATGGAAGGGGTGGAGTCACTCAAGCTGGGGACAGAAAAAGTTGAGGGTAAAACAAACATGAGAAATGAGAATCTTATACCCAAATCTTCAAGGGGCAACCTCGGGATAAAATGTGTGAATCCAACCCTGCGCTAACCTCCCAACCCAGTCTCCCCTGACTTACCCAGGAGGAAACCAGTCCGCCCATCCACCAGCTCCTCCAAGATCACGAGTGATCCAAGCAATAACTAGCAATGTAAACGATACCAACACTGTGCCTTGGGCGAATCTGTTAAATTTGTAGATTAGGTGAAGAGAAACGATTTTAAGACAACATCGAAATCTGAATTGTTTTATAACTAATTTGATAAAATAACACTCATAACTACATTTATGACATATTAATTTTCCACATTTTTAATCAATTTAGGTTATAAAAAGTCTCACGTGATAGGCCCCAAGTTGTTGTACTCATCTCTGATCATGGCGTTGACCTTCTCCAGTTTTTTCTTGTTGGCTTCTGGAGCACAGCAACAACACAGACACCCTCCTCTGTACAGACATACAGGGGACAGTTTAGTTTGGTTAGATCTTTCTAATGTTTGTACTACAACAACACAGACACACAGGGGACAGTTTAGTTTGGTTAGATCTTTCAAATGTTTGTACTACAACAACACAGAAACACAGGGGACAGTTTAGTTTGGTTAGATCTTTCAAATGTTTGTACTACAACAACACAGACACACAGGGGACAGTTTAGTTTGGTTAGATCTTTCTAATGTTTGTACTACAACAACACAGAAACACAGGGGACAGTTTAGTTTGGTTAGATCTTTCAAATGTTTGTACTACAACAACACAGACACACAGGGGACAGTTTAGTTTGGTTAGATCTTTCAAATGTTTGTACTACAACAACACAGACACACAGGGGACAGTTGAGTTTGGTTAGATCTTTCAAATGTTTGTACTACAACAACACAGGGGACAGTTTAGTTTGGTTAGATCTTTCAAATGTTTGTACTACAACAACACAGACACACAGGGGACAGTTTAGTTTGGTTAGATCTTTCAAATGTTTGTACTACAACAACACAGGGGACAGTTGAGTTTGGTTAGATCTTTCAAATGTTTGTACTACAACAACACAGACACACAGGGGACAGTTTAGTTTGGTTAGATCTTTCAAATGTTTGTACTACAACAACACAGGGGACAGTTGAGTTTGGTTAGATCTTTCAAATGTTTGTACTACAACAACACAGACACACAGGGGACAGTTTAGTTTGGTTAGATCATTCAAATGTTTGTACTACAACAACACAGGGGACAGTTGAGTTTGGTTAGATCTTTCAAATGTTTGTACTACAACAACACAGACACACAGGGGACAGTTGAGTTTGGTTAGATCATTCAAATGTTTGTACTACAACAACACAGGGGACAGTTGAGTTTGGTTAGATCTTTCAAATGTTTGTACTACAACAACACAGACACACAGGGGACAGTTTAGTTTGGTTAGATCTTTCAAATGTTTGTACTACAACAACACAGGGGACAGTTGAGTTTGGTTAGATCTTTCAAATGTTTGTACTACAACAACACAGACACACAGGGGACAGTTTAGTTTGGTTAGATCTTTCAAATGTTTGTACTACAACAACACAGACACATAGAGCAAGGGACAGTTTAGTTTGGTTAGATCTTTCAAATGTTTGTACTACAACAACACAGACACACAGGGGACAGTTTAGTTTGGTTAGATCTTTCAAATGTTTGTACTACAACAACACAGACACACAGGGGACAGTTTAGTTTGGTTAGATCTTTCAAATGTTTGTACTACAACAACACAGGGGACAGTTGAGTTTGGTTAGATCTTTCAAATGTTTGTACTACAACAACACAGACACACAGGGGACAGTTTAGTTTGGTTAGATCTTTCTAATGTTTGTACTACAACAACACAGATACATAGAGCAGGGGACAGTTTATCTTGGTTAATACAATGAGCAACGTAGTACTGTTAGTTCTGTACAGAGGATCATTCAAGATCTATTTAGAGTTTAGAGGTTAACTAAATACCTAAATAGAAATATTGACTTACTTGCACCTGAGAAACACTAACACCATCCATGCCCACAATGTGAGAATCATCAAGAAAGACATCGGCAGACAGTAGATTAGCCAAGTACTGAAAGTAACTGGCGACTTGAGGTTTACGTCCCCATACGCTCTAAGAAAGAAAGTATAGTTTTATCTAGGTGATACTTTCTGGTAACCTATAATCAGCATGTGATAATTTTATAAGTTTTTATTTTACTTTGTACTTTTGTCCCAGATCATATTTTTTTACGTAAATACCTATGAATTTAACAAACATTAAAAATACAAAGTATTTTTACACTAATTCACATACTAGAGTTATAGGATTAGACTAAATTTAAATGTGATAATCTGTGATAAATCTCTATACTACTAAAACTCGTTTGTTTACATGTTTGAATATTTATTTGTTTTTTTTTTGTTTGTCTGATTGACTACTGGAGAAAATCTGCTCTATGTGCAGGGCTGTAAAATAGTATGTAGGTAGAGAACAATTTTTATTTTCAGACAGACTGTTAATCACAAATTTATTTAATGACGTTAATTAATTTATTGATTTATTCATTGGTAGATTAACCACATTAATTTTAAAAGTTTAGAAAAACGACTTTACTTTGAGTGAATAGTGACGTCACATGATTTGTTTACTTTTTAGTACAATTAAATGGCGGTTTCTATCGAAGAAGATTGTGTTCCCATTCCAATGTTTAACGCGTTCTAAAGCTAATTTCCCGTCGGCTATAACTTTAACAATACGTCCGTTTGCTGTATTTATTATGTTCCAACACTTATATCAATTTTCAACTGTCTTTTTCATTTAGTTTAACAATAAATTTCTCTAGATCTACAGATCAGCTGTCGAAGGAAGAAAAAGTTATGAATCTAGATCTAGATCTAGAAGTCTAGATCTAGATCTAGGTCACTAGACTTATGTAAATTCTACATCTAGAATCTATTTCAGGCCTTAATTATTTTATAAAAATCTTTGTTTGTTTAGCTATACAAATGGCTAATTTAAGATACAATTAAATTTTAAATAATTCTAGATCTAATTCTAGGGCCGATTCGCGTAGATTCTTACACAGACTAAAAGTAAAATATGTAAGTTATTATTATTATTGGAACTTAGCGGGATACAGGGCAGGTGAAGTAGAGTTCACCTGTTTCTTTGTCCTCAATATATAACGTGGATAGTGTGGTCAGAGCAGGGGCGTAGCGAGGGGGGGGGGGGCCGGGGTGCGGACCGCACCGGGTGACACCATTTAGTGGGGTGACACCAAGGCATAAAATAGCAAAATATATAGAGAAAAACTTGACGGGGGGTGCAAATCAAAAGTTTGAGGGGGGGGGGGTGCAAATCGAAAACTTGAGGGGGGTGCAAATCGAAAACTTGAGGGGGGGTGCAAATCGAAAGTTTGAGGGGGGGGGGGTGCAAATCGAAAACTTGAAAGTTTGTCCCCGGGAAGGGTCGCTACGCTCTGGGGGGATGGCACCATTAAGTGCCGCACCGGGTGACACCCGACCTCGCTACGCCACTGGGTCAGAGCCATGCTCGGCCGAAATTTTTTTTTTTAAAGATAAAACATGTTTTCTGAGACTTGGCGGAATACTGGGCAGGTGAAGTAATGTTGGGTAGGTGTAAAGTTCACCTGTGACTTCAGAGTATGAAGAGATAGTGTGGTCAGACCCATGCTCAGCCAAAATCTGTGTTTTCAAAGACAAAAAAGATGTCTGAGTTGGGAGGACACTGGGCAGGTGAAGTAGAGTTGACCTGTTTTTGTGACCTCAGCATTTGAAGAGATTATGTTGTCAGACCCATGCTCAGACAAAATCAGTGTTTTTAAAAGACAAAAACGTCTGAGGTGTGGGTGTTACGCCTTTTTTAATTTAGGGGTCTGGTTCTTTTATGATGATAAGTGACAGACGTGATGTCATTTATGGATGACACTCGAAAACCACAGTTATCTAACTAGATAACGGGTAGTCTAGTATTCTATTAAAAATGTCACCACTAGTCTTTTTTGTGTCACCCGCTATAGCCACAATGGCGGATTAACGAGAGGGTGGGGAAGAGGGGGGGCTGAGAGGGCAGCCGCCAGAGGGCCCCGAAATTTAGGAGCCCCAAAATTATACCAAATCAAACAATGTTGAATGTGAGTTGTTTTCCAACGAATCTTGCTGTACATTATAACTTGCAGTTATCGATGTCCTTCCACCCCACCCCCACTTACTTCTGTGCCGCAGCAAACAGGACAAGGTTAGGTCCGGTTCCAGTCAGGCTGCCGATGCCTCCAATGCTTGAAGCGTACGCTGCCGTCAGAGACAGCGCCTTGCTCAGTCTCAGAAACTCGGCGTCGGCCAGTTCCTGATCTTGTTTACGCTTGAGTGCGTCAGTTGATTTGGGGTCACTGGGGGATAAAAGTTGTTTTAGTGCGGACTCTTCATACAGAGAAATCATTGGACTTTACATAGAGGAAATTCAATATCTAATCCTCTCACCTCTGTTAGTGTTGGCACATTACCTGTTAAAACCTCAGTTAGTAATGACACCTCACCTGTTTAAATCTCCGTTAGTGATGGCTTTCTTGGACTTCTCGTTGATGTTCATGTCCTTGAACTGCTGCAGCAAGGCCTGGACGATGGTCATCATCATGGCCGTCGTGGCCGTGTTGGAGATCCACAGGGACAAGAACCACGTGACCATCGTTATACCGAACAGCAAACTTTAACAAATGTCAACAAAGGCCAAAAGAATCATATTGATTATTCTGCTTTAATCCAGCAGAAGAAATACTTATTATTATTGCATATCCTCAAAAAAAAATTAATATTATTTTTTTGGTAAATATCAATAACCATTATTTCTATCCAGTATGCGAATTAAAATGAAACCCACCATTTCGGCTCGGCACCGACTATCTTCAACACCATCAGTGCTATTCTCTTGTGGACGTTCCAGACCTCGATTGCTATGGCAACCAGAAGACCGCCTATAAACAACATGGACGTGTCCTGTGATGAAGATAACACAGAGCAAACGTGTATGTTGTCCAAATGTTGTATTTAAGCCAGATAATAAAATAGTGTGAAATCTTTTAAAATCGTGTTTTAATTAATTGTAGGCCCAATTAGTTATCCAAAATAATTAATCTCCAAGCCTACATTGAAGTAAGCAGCTGACGTGTCTTTGGCTGACATAACCCCCATTGCAGGTAACAAGACGACAGGTGCCAGTGACGTCACGGCGATGGGCAGCGCCTCTGTGATCCAGAAGACCGCCATGACGGCTATGACGTAACCACATCTTGCCTGTCTCTGATGCTGTAGAAAGGATGATGAAAGAACATTTTATTTAAGAGGACATGCTCCGTTTTTTTAAATATTTTTTACAATTTAAGATCTAAAGCCTTTTGAATACTTTTACCATATTTGGCGCATGGAAGTAAGTATTAAACAGCAAAAAAAGAGTTTAAAACAATTTTGGTTGTCGTGGAAACCCGAGAAAACCTCCGCCATTTTGAATTTTTCGGTACTTTGAAAAATGCTAAGGCTTTTTTATTTATGCATTTATAGCAATCAAATTTTAAAGGCTTATATTTTAGTAAATATTAAAACTTTTACTACGACAAAATTTTACGAGGTCTGAAAAATAGTCCTTTTTTTAATTCAAAAGTTTTATAATTTGCATATTTGCAACTTTTTCCTATGAAAGTTATCACAATTCCCTCGTGAAAAAAGTTTTATTTCAGCATGAATAACAATTACTGAAAATATGGTTTGCATTATTTAATTAATAATAAACTGGTAGTGATCTCCCCTAAACTTTCTCGAATATTCTTATATAAAACAACAGGGGATGGTAACTGGGGATATAGTTATGATTTTTAATCCATTTTAAATACTGAAACTTTTAAAAATAGAATAGAATCTCAGTAAAAAACAATTGCGCACCAAGCGAACGCCTAATAAAGGTGTGTATAATGGTGCGCAATAGTATTAGTACTTTAAAAATTTACATTAGTTTTTTGAGAAATCGGAAGTAGCGTAAATTACTACTTCCGGTCAACGGAAATTACTCAAAATTTAACAGAAGGTAGAGAATTAGATCTTTTACTTACATGTGAAATTTCATTTATCTATCTGAAATAGTACTCAAGTTATAGGCTTTTGAAAAATTCAAAGTAGAAAAAGTACCACTTTCGGTTGTCGGAAATCGCTCAAAAGTTGATACGGATCTACGATTTTAATATAATACTTATATATGAAATTTCATCAACCTAGCTGTAACGGTACTCAAGTTATCGTGTTTACACACGGACAGACACACACACAGACAGACACACACACACACAGACATACGGACAAGATTGCAAAATTATGTTTTTCCGTATAAGTGAGGTGTAAAACGTCGAGATTTGTAAAAATCTCGATTTTTTTTTTTGCACGATTACAATACTTTCTCTATACTACGTATATACGAGAAAGTAAAAAGGTAGTAGGGTTTTTAGTGTTAAAAAAGTGCGAACTAAGAAAAACAGCAAAAAGAAACAAAAAGTAGGTCACGAAAATCACAGATCTGTGTAATTTGTAAAGCCGATTGTAGACTTTGGGTATTTCCGACATGATTGAAAATACGATTATCAAATACGTGAGAAATGAAGCTTTCCAATGATACCAAATACAATATGATGACTGATATAAAACGATTTGTAGAAAGCTTGTAAGATTGAGAACAAATTATTACTTTTTTTTAATTAACTGGGTCTTAAAAATGATATTTTAAACACAATTTTTTTTCTTTAAGTCTATTATTTTCTTAATTTAAAAATGGACAACGTATACAAAAGTGCAAGAAACCCATCATTGCGAAAACTAGGAATTTTGTGATTTTGTAAGGAGCATATCCCCTTAAGAAACGTTTACATGCTGGGAAGATGGCTTGAGTAATCTTGGTATATGCTTGAAAAGTCTATATAAGCATACACACTTTTGTGAAAAATCGTTTTTAAAATATGGCTAGCGGTAAAATTAAAGTTAATTTTTAAAGACTTATAGCTGTTTGGGAACCATCAATTACACTCAAGTTCATATTTTTTGTATTAAATATAAGCGGTTGAAAATAATTTTAGAATTATTTTATCAATTTTAAATATAAAAAAACCCACCCTTAACCTCTCATTGAAGTAAACTGGAATGGCCATGGAGAGTAAAACAATTAAAGTAACAACAATTGTTTTCCATGATAAAATACATAATAATGGTCTATGATGTTTACCCAGTATTGTATTTATATTAAATAATATAACATTCCTTATCACCACAACACTCTGACTCTACTAATCCAATTCTTTAAAAAGTGTTTGCTAAATTACTATTATATTACTAGTAATTATTTCTTTAACTATTTCTAGCCTTTATAAAACCGGAAGTAATTTTGTACTATTACACAAATTTTATAAAATATTCAATTTTGGTTGAAAAATATGTTTTCTGGGTACAAAAATTTGAAACTATTTGGAATCAAAAGTTGACAACAGACATGTTTACATTTTAAAAGTTGACATTATAAAGTTTACCTACAATAGTTTGCATTACAAATGTATAGCCTACATTAATAAGTCTGTATATTTACATTTGAAAAAAAATACACTTTTTGTCTAATTATGTTTAAAACATTCGTTTATTTGTTTAATTTAATCTAATCTAATATATAAAGCTCAGTTCTGTATGTAATGCATTTGTATGTCGTTGGAATTGTACGATTTTAAGTGTTAGAAAAATTATCGTGCGCATTTGTCTAAATTTATGAGCTAAAAAATTACCATTGAAAGTGTTGGGAAATAATTTTCATTTTTCAAATTATAGTAATAATTGTCGGCATGTTCATTAAACACAAGTTTTAAAAAAAATATCATCTTTTACAAAAATTCTAATTATGTCTTTATTTAGTCCTATAGCACTTACTTCCCTTTGATAAATTAGGAAAAACACAATTACTTCCCTTTATAAAAAACCATTGCATTCCGTGAAAATAATTTACTTTTTAATTACTTTGTTTTGGTGTTGGGAAAAAAAATAATTACATAATTAGCGGGGATTGATCAAGTGCAAATGTTGTAGGTATTTTACGGATAAGCTTGGAGTATTAAAATTGTTTATTAAATTGAAACAGGCGCGTTCGTTTAAGTGAGTGCAAAAGACTGTGAATAAGTTGGGGTACTATAGTCGTTCATTAAGCTAAAACAGGTGATTCCGCCCCGGGCGTTTATGTTCGCGTTAGTGTTTTCTTTGTGTTTAGGTGGGTTTGCGTTAGTGGTTGCGTTTTAATTTGGTTCGTTTTTGTTCTTTCTTTTTACGTTTTTGTTTGTGTTTTTTTTGTTTGGGTTTGTATTTGTGTTTTTGGTTGGTTTTGCGTTTGGATTTGGTTTGTTTTCGTTTGCTTTTTTCGTTGATTTTTTTTTTATTGGTGTTTGTGGGTGTGGTTGTGTTTGTTGTTAAGTTTTTGTTTTCGTTTGTATTTGTAATTGTGTTAGCGTTATGTTTGCGTTTTGTTGTTTTGGTTTTGGTTGGTTGTGGTTTGGGTGGGCAATGCCGGGTTTATGATGATTACTAAACACACAGGTAATGGTCTTTAACAGAAAGGTTTTTCACAGAAGCCAGAGCAGGGCCTGGCCGGGACGGCTAGTATCTAATATATAAAGCTCAGTTCTGTATGTGATGCATTTGTATGTCGTTGGAATTGTACGATTTTAAGTGTTAGAAAAATTATCGTGCGCATTTGTCTAAATTTATGAGCTAAAAAATTACTATTGAAAGTGTTGGGAAATAATTTTCATTTTTCAAATTATAGTAATAATTGTCGGCATGTTTATTAAACACAAGTTTTAAAAAAAATATCATCTTTTACAAAAATTCTAATTATGTCTTTATTTAGTCCTATAGCACTTACTTCCCTTTGATAAATTAGGAAAAACACAATTACTTCCCTTTATAAAACCATTGCATTCCGTGAAAATAATTTACTTTTTAATAACTTTGTTTTGGTGTTGGGAAAAAAAATAATTACATAATTAGCGGGGATTGATCAAGTGCAAATGTTGTAGGTATTTTACGGATAAGCTTGGAGTATTAAAATTGTTTATTAAATTGAAACAGGCGCGTTCGTTTAAGTGAGTGCAATGACTGTGAATAAGTTGGGGTACTATAGTCGTTCATTAAGCTAAAACAGGTGATTCCGCCCCGGGCGCTTATGTTCGCGTTAGTGTTTTCTTTGTGTTTAGGTGGGTTTGCGTTAGTGGTTGCGTTTTAATTTGGTTCGTTTTTGTTCTTTCTTTTTTCGTTTTTGTTTGTGTTTTTTTTTGTTTGGGTTTGTATTTGTGTTTTTGGTTGGTTTTGCGTTTGGATTTGGTTTGTTTTCGTTTGCTTTTTTCGTTGATTTTTTTTTGTTGGTATTGGTGTTTGTGGTTGGGTTTGTTGTTAGGTTTTTGTTTTCGTTTGCTTTTTTGTTTGTTTTTTCTTTGTGTTTGTATTGGTGTTTGTGGGTGTGGTTGTGTTTGTTGTTAAGTTTTTGTTTTCGTTTGTATTTGTAATTGTGTTAGCGTTATGTTTGCGTTTTGTTGTTTTGGTTTTGGTTGGTTGTGGTTTGGGTGGGCAATGCCGGGTTTATGATGATTACTAAACACACAGGTAATGGTCTTTAACAGAAAGGTTTTTCACAGAAGCCAGAGCAGGGCCTGGCCGGGACGGCTAGTTTTACTATAATAGCAGAAGTTGTTTCAATACAAATCTGTGTATAATAATTTCTAAAGTCCACTTATTAATTTAATGAGATAGATAATTAATTACTTTTTCATCCACGCAGAGAAATATGGGTAGAAAGACGAGGGGCGTGGCTATAATGACCACGAGGTACCACCAGGAAATGACGTACTTGAGCAGTGAGATCCCACTAGTTGTGTCAACTTTCACGTCACTGTCCATGTTGTTGCTGGTGCTCACGCTGGGGTTAGTTTAAGAGAAAATTAGGGTTGTGTTTGAGTGTTGCACAAATCTTGAAAACATTAGGGTTATGTTTGTGTGTTGGACAAATCTTGACTCAGAATTAAGTCTGTATATGGCGATTGAATTTTAAATAGCTAAGTTATGGTTAAGAAATGAACTGTTTAGTTATTAACTTAACTGCAATGATCAAGTTACACATAGATTACATTTAACTAAAAAAAATTGAAGATCACAAGAAAAGTAAAGCAACATTGAGTTATGTTATTTTAAAATAGATCGTGCGGATAGTTGAAATAATCCAATTTGTTGACAAAATACAAGTTTTACTCTACTTTAACTCTACTTTAATTTTTTTAAATTTGCTATTTTTTAAAGAGATAAAATTTAAAATGCCACCTTTTCATTCAATTAAACAGCACAATCTTTCAACGAAAATACAAAATTAACTTTTTAAAATATACACTAGAATAACTCAATTTTTCTGAATATTTTTTTTTACAGTTTTAGTTTAATAAATTCTACACTGTTATAACTCAATTTTTTCCGATTTTATTTTTAAAATTTCAGTTTGATAAATTCTACACTGGTATAACTCACTCCTTTTTCTCGCCCCCTCTCCTCGACATCCGAGCAATATTTACCACCACCTCCGGCTTGAAGTCGAGATCCAGCTCGCCAACATGAAGTTCCTGCTGTGTGACGGGCGGGCGGGGCATGTAGGATGGGAGAAACACAGGTGAAGGCCGTCTAGGTGAGCTGGAATCGAGGGACTCGGTAAAGGCTTCCATGGCAACAGGGTCAAGGTGAGTTGTGGGACTTGTCACGGGTTATTTATAGCACGAATGTGATGTTGTCATCACGTGAACAGCGTCAAAGGACATATGACATCTTGCAGAAGACCCAAACCTTTTAAATGAGGAAAGAAAATGTGTTAATTAAACAAAAATTTAATAAGGTGTTTGATAACCATCTTTTATATCTATCTTTAGACTATTTAAACAGACCAGGGTTTAGAAGTAAGAATATTTATTAATAGTTTTGTTCCAAACCCAAGATCATGAAATGTGAACTATGTATTGAGTGTTAAAATGAGTAAAAATATTAAGTATAGGGGCCTACATAAAACTAAAATACATTTTAAGAAAGTAATGAAATTTAGAGACATAATGTAAAACCCACTCAAAACTTCTCACATAAAGAACTATGACTCAAGTTTTCAACAAGCAGAAAGTTCTTCACTTTAACGCAAGTCCATTAAAAACGAGAAATAGTTGCCAATTGAAAAGTACCAATGCATTATGGGGTTTTTAATCGATACATGAAATGACTTTGTTGAATATTTGTACAATGTTATGTTGAACAAAAATTTATATATATATTTTTTTTAAATAAGGATGCGAATCAAATACGAATGTCCACAAAACTTGACTGCTTTAGGACCCCTAATTAGCCTGGACTTATTAAATAAATTACCCAGGGCGTTGGGATATTGTGGGTGAAGAGTCCTAATAAGGCTGGAGTGCGGCTAGTGTATTGTTAGTGAAAGCGGCAAACCGTTTTCCAAGTGGAAACTGGGTCATTTAGTATACACAAAATGGAAGAAAATGCTTTCTTTTTCGTTAAATGTATAATGATTTGCCCCGTTCAAACAAATATAAAGGAGATGTGGATCGCTATATTATTATTATTATTATGTATTTCATGCCGTTACAAAATTTTAAAACTGACTCACAATTTTCTCTATATAATGTGCAAGTTTTTGAATTACTAAGAAAATTTTAATTGTTTTAAACTTTTGAATTTTACTTATAAAAAAAATTATTACAAAAATTTATAATATTTTCAAAAATAATTATATATTTTTTAGTTTTAATAGAATAGACTCGAATCGTACTAAAACAACATTTTTTCATTATAACAAATTAAAAACATATTAAGCCATTATTCCTTATCTTATAAACAGTTGATCTTGTTATCTGTAAATAATTGAACTGATTCGTTCAATATAATAGATGGTTGGTGTAATGTGGGGTGGAGTTTTATGAGATAAAGTGGAGTTCTGTAGTGGGCGGTGGAGTTTTATGAGATAAAGTGCAGTTCTGTGTTTAAAGATGGAGTTTTGTAATGGGAAGTGAAGTTTTTTTTAGTAGAATGTTGATGCATAATGATAGAAGGTAGATTGTTATGGTGCAGATGGAGTGGAGTATTATGTACGCAGATGTATTGTTTTAATGGAAGGTGTCTGTTATAAATGTTAGCTTGCATTATACCACATACCTGACCAAATGGAAAAAAAGGGTAAACTTTCAAAACTTAACCAATCAGGTCAGACCGGTCAGATGAAGTAGAACAAACTTGCCCCCAGAAACATTAATCCTAACTATCCAGAAGTATAGAAAACCAAGATCTCACGTAGTCGAGAGTTAACCGTCAGGGGAAGGGGGTTAGGATTTATAATTGATACAAAATAAACACTTCAGTTTTACTACACAGAAATTCGTAGATAGAAGAGAACCACATGCACACGCGATATTTTACTCTGTATGTTAGTGCAGGAAGAATTTCTTGAACACGGCAAAAAAAAAGTTCCACTTGTGCATTTTAAAAATTTTATTTACCAGATTTTTAAACAAAAACTAGAATACCCGTCATCCGTTGGATAACTGTGGGTTTCGGGGGTCATCCATAAAAAAACATCACGTCTGTCACTCAGAGGCATAGCGACCCTTCCCGGCGCCCGGGGACAAACTTTTCGATTTTAACCCCCCCCTCAAGATTTCGATTTTCAACCCCCCCCCCTCAATTTTTTGATGTGCATCCCCCCACTCAAACTTTCGATTTGAACCCCCCTCAACCTTTCAATTTATTTTTCCAAACTATTTTGGCGCCCCGACATATGTCCCCCCGCCCCCCCCTTCCCCCCTCCACCTCCCCCCGCCTCCCCTCTCCCCCCCCCCCGCCTCCCTTCCCGCCCACCCCCCTCCTCGCTACGCTACTGCAGTGTCACTTATCGTCACAAAAAACAGACCCCACATTCAAAAATATGTTTCTTATCTTTTAAAAACACCGAAAACACCGATTTCGGACTATCCCTTCATATACTGACGTCACATGTGACCTACTCAACTCTACTTCACCTGCCCAGTGTCCCGCCAAGTCTCAGACGACATGTTTTTATCGTTTAAAAAACGATTCCAGCCGAGCATGTCTCTGACCACACTATCCTTTCATATGCTTAGGACAAAGAAACAGATGAACTCTACTTCACCTGCCCTGTATCCTGCCAAGTTCAGATAGGCAACTTTATCATTCACATCTAAAAAAAAAAATTGAAAAAAAATATCATTGACATATTGGTCTAGAACCTGTGCCACCCGCATGAGAGCGGACTACGCTACCAACTTAGCTATTTACTCGTGACGTCACAAATGAATTTTTATACTATACTTTTGAGTCTCCGCGCATAGATCTAGATCTAAGTCTAGTAGTAGTAACTTTCAAATTAAATTTTATCTTAAATTAGCCAAACAAAGATTTATATAAAATAATTAAGGCCTGAAATAGATTCTAGATGTATTAAGGCCTGAAATAGATTCTAGATGTAGAATTTACATTAAGTCTAGATCTAGAATTTACATTGAGTCTAGTGACCTAGATCTAGGCTAGATCTAGATCTATAGATCTAGGCTAGATTCATAACTTTCCTTCGACAGCTGATCTTTAGATCTAGAGAAATTTATTGTAAAACTAAATGAAAAAAGACAGTTTAAAATTGATATAAGTGTTGGAACGTAATAAATACAGCAAACGGACGTATTGTTAAAGTTATGACCGACAGAAAATTAGATTTAGAACGCGTTAAACTTTTGAATGGGAACACAATTTTCTTCGATAGACGCCGCCATTTTATTGTACTAAAGAGTAAACAAAAACCTGTGACGTCACTATTCCCACAAAGTTTAGTCAATGTTTTAACATTTTAAAAAAAAATGGGTTACTCTACGTATGAATAAATCAATAAATTAATTAACGTCATTAAATAAATTTGTGATTAACAGTCTGGCTGCATTAAAAAATTATTCTCTACCTACATACTATTTTACAGCTCTCCACATAGAGTCGAACATATCACAATACTCGATCGGACAAACAAAAAAAAAAAAAAATATTCAAACATGTAAACAAACTTGACTTTTAGTAGTATATAGATTAAATGTGATTTGATATCATAATCCATATAACTCGTTGATGTAAAACACTAATATAGAAAAATAATTGATATAAAATTTTAATAGAGGAAATAATTGATACAAAACACTAATATAGAAAATAATTGATTTCAACTTTAATACAGAAAATAATTGATATAAAACTTTAATAGAGAAAATAATTATTGATATACAACACTAATATAGAAAATCCTCGATTTCAACTAAAATAATTGATAGAATGCTTCAATGGAGGAAATAATTGAAATAAAACACCAATGTAGTAAATTATTGTTATAAAACTAAATAGAGAAAAAAATCCTGAAATTTGTATCAAATTACCTTCTTCAACTTTCCGCAATGAAAAGTTGAGTTCGTGCTACAAGCAGGGCATATGAGAGTAAGTTCTCAGTTTTATAGAAAAAAGAATTGTTTGACTAACGAAACGTTAAATTTAAAAAGCCAACACGAGTTTAGAATTCTTTTAACCGTCTAATAAAGTTTGATTAACCGAAACACCAGTACAGTGACATTTTACGTTAGAAATGTTTGTATAATAAATCAACGGTGTGAGGCAGAGCAGGGAGTGGGTCATTTTAGCTGGGTTGTGGATGGATGGATTAGGTCATTTTAGCTGGGTTGTGGATGGATGGATTAGGTCATTTTAGCTTGGTTGTGGATCGATGGATTAGGTCATTTTAGCTGGGTTGTGGATGGATGGATTAGGTCATTTTAGCTGGGTTGTGGATGTATGAGTTGGTCATTTTAGCTGGGTTGTGGATGGATGGATTAGGTCATTTTAGCTTGGTTGTGGATCGATGGATTAGGTCATTTTAGCTGGGTTGTGGATGGATGGATTAGGTCATTTTAGCTGGGTTGTGGATGGATGAATTAGGTCATTTTAGCAGGGTTGTGGGTGGATGAATTAGGTCATTTTAGCTGGGTTGTGGGTGGATGGATTAGGTAATTTTAGCAGGGTTGTGGGTGGATGAATTAGGTCATTTTAGCTGGGTTGTGGGTGGATAGTATTAGGTCATTTTAGCTTGGTTGTGGATGGATGAATTAGGTCATTTTAGCTGGGTTGGGGGTGGATGGATTAGGTCATTTTAGCTTGGTTGTGGATAGATAGATTAGGTCATTTAAACTGGGTTGTGGGTGGATGGATTAGGTCATTTTAGCTTGGTTGTGGATAGATAGAGTAGGTCATTTTAGCAGGGTTGTGGATGGATGGATTAGGTCATTTTAGCTGGGTTGTGGGTGGATGGGATTAGGTCATTTTAGCTGGGTTGTGGGTGGATGGATTAGGTCATTTTAGCTTGGTTGTGGATGGATGGATTAGGTCATTTAAGCTTGGTTGTGGGTGGATGAATTAGGTCATTTTAGCTGGGTTGTGGGTGGATGAATTAGGCCATTTTAGCTTGGTTGTGGGTGGATGGATTAGGTAATTTTAGCAGGGTTGTGGTTGGATGAATTAGGTCATTTTAGCTGGGTTGTGGGTGGATGGATTAGGTCATTTTAGCTTGGTTGTGGGTGGATGGATTAGGTAATTTTAGCAGGGTTGTGGGTGGATGAATTAGGTC